GCGATGGGGTCCTTAGAGTGCTTTCCATCCATACTCTGAGGTACTTGCTGATGGTTTTCTCCAGCTTCTCAATGATAGTCAGGGGGATCTTGGTATTATTCCATGCTGGAAGCACCAAATTTTCAACTTGCCAGGCAGTAATGTCTTGTTGATAGCTCTTAGCCAGCTGTCAAGCTGCTCCAATGTGTTGATAATACTGTTCTTGTTAGATTGGGGTGGGAGAGATATGCCCCTCCCAATCGTTTAAGGGTTAATACTGTTAGTAAAATGTTCTATGTGTAATATTTTGAGAAATTATTCAATTTTTTCAAATTTCCGGATAATGTGTACCATATGCCTCAGATCATTTGCACTGCTACCCATCTAATTACACAGACGTATCGTCGGTGTATCATGGCGGAACTTCCTCCGGGACTAGGTTTCGGTAAGATTTTTTTATTTCCCGATTTACACCTACTTATAAGTCACGTTGTGGATAATAATTTGGCTCGAAGTTAAGGAAGATAGTCTAGTTTGAGAATGTGTCGATGGTTTTAGGTTTTATATGTTAACAAAGACACAATTCACGTATTTAGTCCCTCGCTTTTCTTACACTGACGATCGGCATTAATATTGCCAATATTACACTGACATTGGTCGTTCGTCAGTGTAAGAAAAGCGAGGGACTAAATACGTGAATTGTGTCTTTGTTAACATATAAAACCTAAAACCATCGAATACTCCACTCATGGAAATGTTTCTGAATACGTTTTTGTACAAAACAAAAATGAGTTGACTACTCATACCAATGCCACATGTCGACTGTTCATAGTATTTAGGGATTGCCAATTTGTTCATTGGATTGTTTGCTTGTTTGCAAATATTGAGTGAATGGCCATGTTTTTAGATAGATTTGTGATTTGTTGATTTGGCAATCACGTTGATTTAATTAATGATTTGATTTATTCCTCGTCCAAGCGAATAGCTGGTGATCTTCTCGTTTGTACATATGTTATACAGTGAAATTTCATACTGCATCAATAATGGAAATTCGAAACAAATGTCCATTATTACGTAATTGTTTTTTTATTTTTTTATTTAAGATCGAAGGGCATAATCTAATGATACGTCTGTGTAATAATTCCTCTGATAGTGATATTTACCATTGTTGCCTTAATAACCACGAAGCATATCAGGTCTGATCACCATGCAAGTTGCAATGAACGATCTTTTGCTGAAGAAAGCGACATCATTGAACTTGGGAGAGGGGTTTTTGAGGAGGACATCTTTTGTTACTTTTAATTTAAGCATGTATAAAGCAAATCGTAATGGAATAGGTTAATGCCAGTTTCTGCTGAGCAACATAGGACTTCAGTAGGTTTATTTGTCCAAAATTTACATGTACAAATCATTTCTAATAGACATATATTTTGTAACTATGGGAACATAATGAATTACTTATTTGATTTTGTAATTTCTAACAATGTAGTACAGGTAATACTCTTACTTCTGTTGTTAGGTGGGATTCATCCCAATCCTGGCCCTGGTAACGATGGTATCCAAAAGAAGCACAGTTTAAACATTGCTCACGCGAATATAAATAGCATAAAACCGATTGAAGATGTGCAAGAGATTAAATTCACAGATATCTTACTTTTTATTGAAGAAAACGAAATTGACATCTTATGTCTCTCGGAAACTAAACTTTCGGATCAAGTGCCTGATATCGATATAATAATACCTGACTTCCATGAACCCTTTAGACGCGACAGGACACGAAATGGAGGCGGGGTAGCGATATATATTTCAAGTCAATTAACGTGTACTCGTAGACATGATTTAGAGCCCGCATTCTCAGAAATTATATGGGTAGAAATTAGGACCGGAAAAAAGAAAATCCTCATTGCTTCCTGTTATAGACCTCCTAATCAAAGTGTTGAAGAACAAGACATTTTCAAAACAGAATTTGAGCAAAGTATCAATGCGGCGGGTACCGAAAGTAATTTTGGGATTTGGCTTCTCGGAGACTTCAATGCTGGATGTAGTTCTTGGATTCCTGGTCATGCTAATACTCCTTTTGAAACAAGCTTCTTTAACTTGATAACATCTCTTAATTTGTACCAACTGATCAAAAACCCAACCAGAAATGGAAAACTTCGGGACCTAATTTTGACCGACGCTCCAGCTGTTACGGAAAATTCAAAAGTATGTCGCCCTATTTTGAATCACCATTCTGAATGCGATCACAAGACAATTTTTAATCAAATTATTACTTCTATCCCAAGTCGGACCGCCTACAAACGTACTATATGGGACTATGCAAAAACTAACTTTGATAGTTTAAAAAATATTTTAGAATTCGCACCATGGGACATATTTTTTACAACAGATGACATAGATGATTCTTGTACTATGTTAACTGACTTTCTAACCGACACTATGAATGATTGTATTCCCCATAAGACTGCTACAATTCGTCCAAACAGTAAACCATGGATAAACTGATAAATGGCTTCATTAGGAAACTAAGTCGATTAAAAAACCGTGCTTTTAACATTGCAAAATTTTCCAGTCGTGATATTGACTGGGACATATACAAAATTTATAGAAATCGGCTTGTTGATGTCTTAAGAAAATGTAAGACTGAATATTATGAAAAAATATCGATCATTTTGAGCAACAAAACCACAAATTCAAAGAAGTGGTTTAGCACTTTGCGCCAAGTAAACGGTCACAAACACACACGTGGGGTTCCTGGTCTTATAGAGAATGATTTAGTTTATGATGATGACTCCAAAAAGGCAAATATTTTAAACGCATATTTCGCAGCCCAATGTACAGTTGACGATGCCGGCGTAGCTATCAATATTGCAAGTGATCCAACTCCGACTAATATTCTTGAAAGCATCCAAACTACTCCCGAGGAGATTAAAGACCTATTGCAACATCTAGACCCTTCGAAAAGTGGAGGATGTGATAACATTCCTAACAAATTTTTGAAAATATGTGCCGATTATATTTGTTTTCCTTTAGCTAAATTATTCAACCTATCCTTAATGAAGGGAGAATTTCCAACATTATGGAAAAAAGCAAACATTACCCCGATTTTCAAAAAGGAAAATCCACACAAGAAGGAGAACTACCGGCCAGTTTCACTTCTTTGCGCTATTTCGAAAGTTCTTGAAAAGATTGTTTTCAATCGTCTTTATGCATTTGTAAAAACAAAAATCACGATTCGACAATCAGGATTCACACCTTTCGATTCCACAATAAACCAACTTATTCGGATAATTGATGAGATTAGCAAAGCTCTTGATGATGGTAAAGAAATTCGATTGATCTTTCTTGATATAAGTAAAGCTTTCGACAAGGTTTGGCATGATATGTTGATCGCAAAATTGAGAAAATTCGGTATCCGTGGAAATCTCTTAAAATGGATAAAGAATTATTTGACAGACCGGTCACAAAGAGTTATTGTAAACGGTTCTTCATCAGGGTGGCTACCTGTAAAGGCAGGAGTGCCCCAGGGTTCAGTCCTCGGGCCTCTTTTATTTTTGATATTTATAAACGACCTCGTTGAAAAAGTCCAGAGTAACATGTATCTTTTCGCAGATGATTCTTTCATCTTTGATATAGTTGAAGACGCAGATGCTACTACAATTAAGCTCCAAAGCGACCTGACGAGTATAACAAAATGGGCATCTGACAACTTAGTAACTTTCAATGCTAGGAAAACTCAAACGATGGTTATCTCTCATAAAATCAACAAACCAGAACACGGTTTATTGACGTTTAATGGTGTTACACTTCAAAACACAAATCAGCATAAACATCTTGGAATGTACTTTACACCAGATTTAAAATGGAATAATCATATAAATCAAACCATCACAAAAGCCAATAGGTTAATAAATTACATGACCAGACTGAAAAGTAAACTCCCTAGAAATACTCTTGACACCATCTATAAGTTATATATACGGCCCATTCTTGATTACGCATGTTCTATTTATGACAACACCAGTGAACTTATGGCAGACAAACTCGAAAGAGTACAATATCGAGCTTCACTTTTAGTAACCGGCGGAATAAAGCTAACCAGTTACGTCAAATTATGTGGCGATCTGGGATGGCCAACTTTGAAACTAAGACGACGTTATTTTAAACTTCTTACCTTTTGTAAAATTGTTTATGGCAAATGCCCACATCATTACCGATCGCTGTTGCCAAATCGAGTTAATACTCGGACACAATATGCACTTAGATCTGCAAACTCGTTTGAGCTGGTAAAATTCAATACGAATTACTTCAAAAATTCATTTATACCTTCAACAGCGCGTGCTTGGAACGACCTGCCTACACGGATAAAAGATGAAATCAACTTTACGAAATGTAAACTTGAACTATCCAAGTATATTTACGGAGAACTTAAAGGAAAGTATCTTATAAAATTATATAACATCGGAGATCGTTTCTCAAATATCCAACATGCACGTATGAGACTCGGCCACACCCTTCTCAATTCCTATTTGTTCAAAATGGAGAAGGTAAATTCTCCCAACTGCTCGTGTGGAATCCAAAATGAAACAATCTTTCATTACCTACTGATATGTCCAAACTTTACAGATCAACGAAACGATATGCTTTATACATTAAATGAGGTATGTGCTAACAATCCCGATATAAACCTTAACTCTCAAAATGTTATCAAAGACACAATTCTCTTTGGGAACAAATTTTTAACAGTTGATGATAACGAACGTTTGATTTTGGCACTACACACGTTCATAAAAAGTACAAAGAGATTTTAATTTTTTGTGTAACCTGAGATGTCCTCTCTACCCAAGTACATTGTAATATGTTTGTTTTTTCTTTATTGTAACTGCATGTATTTAAATTCTGTATTTATATTTGTATCATGTAATTGAGAAGCATTTAAATTAGCAACTATGCTATTTTGCTAATCTGAATAAATATAGTATTATAACAAACATTCAATTTTGAACAAAATACTCAATCGCCCGAGTGCCGTAGTGAAAATCGGAGCAAATGTGACCAAGGCATAAATGGAACAAAGTAATTCAGTGTCTATGAGATTCTTGGCTAAGGCTCAACTCATTCACTATAATTACTCTATATGCATGTGTGTCCATTACTTGAAGATATGGACCTTTCCACTTGAGTTTCCACCAACTATGCTGTTACGAGTTGGATGGAATACATTAATACTGTTGAAGGAACCAAGAAGTTCAGTGTCTATGAGATTCTTGGCTAAGGCTCAACTCATTCACTCTATATGTATGTGTGTCCATTACTTGAAGATATGGACCTTTCCACTTGAGTTTCCACCAACTATGATGTTACGAGTTGGATGGAATACATTAATACTGTTGATGGAACCAAGAAGTTCAGTGTCTATGAGATTCTTGGCTAAGGCTCAACTCATTAACTCTATATGTATGTGTGTCCATTACTTGAAGATATGGACCTTGCCACTTGAGTTTCCACCAACTATGATGTTACGAGTTGGATGGAATACATTAATACTGTTGATGGAACCAAGAAGTTCAGTGTCTGTGAGATTCTTGGCTAAGGCTCAACTCATTCACTCTATATGTATGTGTGTCCATTACTTGAAGATATGGACCTTGCCACTTGAGTTTCCACCAACTATGATGTTACGAGTTGGGTGGAATACATTAATGCTGTTGACTGAACCAAGTAGTTCAGTGTCTGTGATATTCTTCGCCAAGGCTCCTGTCTCCGCTCCCCAGATTTCAATCTACAAAACAAGATCAAAAAGTGTTCAATAAGGACTACTAATAAAGATAATTTTGCTCGAAATTTTTTTTCTGCCTGATCACCTCAAATCATATTTCGACACATTAACAGAAATAACTGTAATAAGCCCTATTAGCTTTTTTTAAATTTTTTGAGGAATAAGAGCTCAGCAGTTTTTACAGCTCAAAATCTACATAAAAAGCTACCCTTTTGGTGTAATCAACCAACCTGACATCTTTTGATCATGTGCATGTTAAAATGAAATGAAAAAGTAAAACTTACCTTGCGTGGTCTGTCCATGCTTCCCACTATGAATGCATCCTCTCTTCTTGGGTGCCATGTGGCTCTGAAGTTGGTCAACCAGCGACCAGTATTGTTATTATGGCTGAAAACATAAACAAGAGACAAAACTGATGAATATCCCACTATAAATATTTCACTACTTGTCATTTTAAGAACCACATTTTATGGAGAAATATGCAGAAAAAATCATTGTTATTACTACAGTATTAAAGGAACAACAAAGATTATTGTAAAATGTATCTATTAAATTGACAACAAAGACTGTTTGGCCATTGTAGAATATGGGGATGTATTTGTTGTACAATGTCGAATCAACGATTGAATGAAAACACTCATGTGGTTCCTCAGTTTGTTTATGGACATTTCTTATTTGACCCAAGCCACAGGAAAAAGAGTCTAATTATCGCACATTTTCTAAATATTTTGATTTTTTGTTTATTTTAAAAAGCACACAGAGACCTTTCAAATGAGCCATCGCTTTATGTCTTAACAATTTTTCTTGCAGATATGGACCAAAAGATGGATTTGAATTTAGTACATTTTCCTCTTATCTTGGGCACATTTTTGGCTCTGTAGTACAATTCTAATTTTTGTAATCAGATCCCTTTCCCATGTTGAGGCTCATTTATTGTAGAATGAAGATACAATATGTGTATTAATGATAAATGTTAAATCTTACTGAATCTTATGCTTTGTAGTCATGTTGCTTGGGTCTGTAGAGTCAAATACCCTGAAATAAAAGATAAATGTAATGACCTTCGGTAAAATAGATAAGGAAGTAATCAACTTGAAGACAGAAATACAATAACACATTCTTGAAAAATTAAGTAGAAATACGGTATATTGTTGTTGAAAAATGTGTCATTATCCTGGAATAGTGTATCAATTGCCCAGGACCAGTAAATTTAACAACAGACCACCTTTTGCTCCTAAATGACTGACCCAATCGTCCAGCATATATTTTACTTATTCAACACAAACTTCTCAAAATTCTAATACGTAACTATGAGCGCTGCACACTTTATTTTCATGGGATACATGTATGTGTCATCTGGTCCAGTTAATTGACTGGACACATTCAATACGGTCCAGTAACCATAGCAAAAATGTTGGTCTATTGGTCTCTCATCCTCCGATCACAGGGCTTCAAAATCCAGAATATCTTCTTTCTTTTTACACCCTGCTATAAGCAGTTAGCATTTCCCCGATTGAGTACTCGCAATCTGATTGGCTGTCGCAACACTGCGACAGAAATCATGTATAAATCATTGCGCATAATTAGATCATGTGATTCAGTTTAATCGGGCGCTTCCTAATTGGTTATAGCAGGGGGGAAGAAGGAGGTACGGATTCTGGATACCTGCTTAGGAGAATGTTGGTCTCTCTGAGACAAATCCCTTATATGCACACTCTCAGTACACCTAGCACATTCTCAGTACACTGATTAATAAATTGTGAAAACGTACCTGATGTTCATATCCCATGACGTTGTGAGGAGATACTTCCCTGTGATAGGTGAGAAATATGCTGAGTCAACAGATTTAGAATGAGGGATATCATCCAAGCATGTTGGGTTTTTTCCCTTCATTTTACGTAAATCCCAGATCTTCACTGTGCTACAAGCAGAAAATTTAAAACACTTAGAATTCAAGGTATGAGGTATAAAATCAGAAAATATAACACAGGTGACATGAAGAGTTGGACACTTTAACATCATTCTGGTGGTGAAATAAAAATATATTTGTTTTTTGTAAAATCAGTTGTAGCATATTTTTTGTATAACCAGTATATGGGCAGACAATAAATTTGCAATTAAGGGGGGCCAATAATGCTATGTAGCCTCGGCCCCTCACAATCTATGTAAATAATTATGTTGAATTATATAGAAATAAATAACAATAACCTATAAAAAAAAATAATTTGCAATTTAATCACTTACTTTACTCAATAACCTGAGTTTAAAAAGGCAGTTTCACTTCAATACACATTTCTCATTTTAAAAGAAAATGTCCATTGTGCTTCCTCTGGTGTGGTTGAGTGTTAACATATATTCAGATCGACTAACAAAAAATCTTTTTTTGGTGCAATAACCACAAGGTTGCGTGTTCGAGATGCATGTGCTCCTTGTATATTCATTTATCTTGAACTTACCCGTCAGTGGAAGAGGTTGCTAAGATATTATCCTTTAAAGGGTGTATACTGACACATTTCACTGTGTATCTTGTGTGAATGTTATATATGCTCTCTGCAGTTGTGCTGCAATAAAAAAAGTATTGAATTAACATTTCATAAACATATCAAAGAATGATTAAAATGAATGTTTCATGAACATATCATGAAAAGATTTTAATGAATATTTCATGAAATAAATGACCTGAAATTACTTGATTTATTTGGTTATAATACGACTTTGTCACTTGTCAAGCTTTCAAATGCCGTCCTTAAGGAGATTTACCAAATTTTTGTGGTGGGCATGGGCGTAGCTTTTTTTAAGTAGTACGCCACCACCACAAGAACAAGAGTTGGCTGAACCAAAACACGAGCATTCAGGGGGGTCTGGGGAACATTTTGAAATTTGACTGTATTTGGAGCAAATTTGCAACCATCTGGTACGCCTGTGCGTACCCAGCGTACCGGGCGCTACGCCCATGGTGGGAGCATATATATCTTCTTACAATACCTATTAGTGCGCATATCTTTAATTGCCATGTCTCCTGAACTCTGACCCAAGATCAATGTCTGTGGAGATTGCCATGCAAATGCGTAGACTCTCTCTTCATCAGGGGTTGCATAGATCTAAAATATTTCAAAACAATCTTCTGAATTTTCTGAATTCCTGATTTCTCAGAATAAGAAACTTCTTCTGAAATTAAAATTTTATTTTCATATTTGCTTACCTCACAAAAACCTTTTTTTCTAAAATTGATCAAATTTATTTACTTCACAAAAATCTTATGCTCAAACGGAATAATATTAGAACTATGTTTTCCTCACAAAACCTTTTTCTCAAACTGATAATATTTGCTTACCTCATCAAAAACCTTTTTCTCAAAGTCAAGACATCTAACTGTACCGTCGTAACTACAACTGTATAGTTTACTAGGGTTGTGTTTGTCGAACTCTAAGCCGTTAACTGGTCGACTGTGTGGCTCATACATAAATACACCATCATCCCCTATTCCTGAATCCTTAAAATACCAAAGATATAAAATTTAGCTCATCAATCAAATAACTTAAAAAATGTAAGTGGTCTTCAGTTTTCTTTCAACTTTTTATTACAATCAAATGGACTTGTCGATTAAATAATTTACTTTTTTAGTTTTTATAATTTCGAAGAACTGAACAATACAATGCACATATTCAGTAAATACTGAACACAAATGAAAATTCCTGTATCAAAAGTATGTAGCCATGATTGCTCAAGTATTTCTTGAACAAGATTTATATTTACTCGAAAAGATTTTGTTTTCTTTTTTCACTCACCAGGGCCCAAATTCCAAGATGCCCCCATTTATCCCCGGCACACACTAGCACTCTGTCTTCACTGGGATGTATCGCCACGGAGAATATCCTTTCTTTAACCACCTTTGCCATAGTTTTTTGAGTAAGCTTCAAGTTTTTGAAACCTTTGATGAAACTGCAATTGAATCAGGGAATAATTAGTCGATGGATAGTATGATTCGACACATAAATACACACTGCACTATGAACCATTACACTACACTACAATTTCATTTGAGTACAGTTCACATGTAACACAACAATACAGAACACAAAATGTATAAATTGATGCATAAAAACAAACTGCAAAATTGTGGCTTACACTACGTTACACTAAAACTATGCACTCACATCACAACCTTATACTATACTACACTACACTACTTTTACAGGGTGTTCCAAAAGTAACAGGACTGGTGCTGGCATTTTGTCAATTTTGCACCGAGTGTCTTCAAATTTTCACAAATTGTACTTTGAAGTATTGCAACTAAAATTGTAAAGTTTCAGAAAAAATGATGAAATGCGGGTAGAGTTATGGTTACTATAGCAACATGACATCACAATACCCGGGGCAACTTTTTTCTGAAAATGTGATATCTAACATTTTTGTATTACTAAAGAAAGTATCTAATACACCTATTATAATACAACATTTCTTGTTTATTTTATTAGTGTCTTTGTTGTAAAGGTGTTGCTATAAAACTCAAATTCAAGTATAATTTCATAATAATAATATTTATTCAATTTCTTGGAATATCACTATGAATTACAGTCTGAACAATTCATGGTTGAGTTTTTGAAAATAACCAATTTGAAGCCAGTCATCCACCTTGATAAAGCGCCTGCCCGCAGGTCACCATTAAAGACCATGTAGCTGTAGAGGAGTTAGGTCTTGAGTTCTAAAACCATGCACCATACTCTTCTGATCATGCAACATCCAATTTTTACTTACATGGAGAAGGGAATGCTAATCAGTGCTGTAAGATCTTTAAAAATGAGATTGAGCTTCTCCAAGTTGTTCAATCGACCATGCGTGACATGTCCTCAAATGGGTTCACTCATGCGTTTGAGTCATGGAAACAGAGTGCTACTCTTCTACTGACCAAAGAGGAGCCTATTTTTCAAAGTACATAGGATACATAGGAATATCAAATTATGTAAAACAAATGTAATGCCCACCAGTTTTTGCATTTTAACTTTGATATGGGATATACAAAATGGTTAATGTATCTTTCTGTCTTAATGTAACTTTCTGTGTGGAATGTTGCCCCGGGTATTGTGATGTCATGTTACCATAGCAACCATAACTCTACCTGAGTTACATATTTTTTGTCGAAAATTTGCAATTTTAGTAACGATACATAAAAGTACATTATGTAAAATTTTAAAGACGATTGGTGCATATTTAACAAAATGCCAGCACCAGTCTTGTTACTTTTGGAACACCCTGTATGTATAGTTAACAATACCCTACCTTGGGAAGGAATCATTGTTGAGTTCAATTTTCACTTTGTGGACAGAGTCAGCCATTTTGTTCACTGACTCTAATAACTTTGTTCCGACACTTTCATCTGACACATTTTTTAAACACTTGGCTGCCTCTAGAGGTCCTGCTGGCTTGCGCTCCTGTATTATAATATAAATACTTGTGTTGAAATGGCCATCTCAATAAAAGTTTCAAAATTTCAACAATAAAAGTTTTCAATTCTGGGAATTGTAGTTAAAATGTATTCTTTTATTTACAATACACTACATGTATGTATATGACTTTATGGGCTCTATTTTTTGTATTTTTTGTATTAGCAAGCAAATTGGTCTAAGATAGGGCAATGTAGATCTTGAGTAGTACTGACTAGGAAAGACAAAATTTATGACCCAAAGGATTTTGACCCGAGCTGACCTGAATCACTGCACCAAATGGATCTACAGTTAAGGTGAATGTAATTATAACTGTCTCATGTGTTTAATATAACATGAATCAAATATGTATTTTAATCCTTAATTCCTTAAGTCAAATTGAGCAAAATCTTACATGTTCTTGAACGGGTGTGAAGATCAGTGGGGGTTCGCGTGGTGGGAGCTGTACCCCATCAGCATCAATACGTCGTAATCTGGAGCTCTGACGTCGTGGAAGTGGAGGTGATTTCTCTCTGAAAATATACAAGTGAGAAATTTAGCCACAAGTGTAATTTAAGCATCATGTGAGAAAATTAAAAGAAAATTAGCAAAAAATTAGAGATTTGGAGCCATGTGGGAAATTTAACAAAAAGTGGGAAATTTAGTATCATATGGTAAATCAAGCATCATCTGCAAAATTAAGCATCACATGGTAAATTTAGCATCATGTATGACTTTAACATCATGAACCCGAAATTCTCCCCGACATCACCCCTACTGACCTTTTTTCCTTTTTCAGACCAAGGACCTCCGTTTTCTTTTTCTGTGTCAGCATTTTCAACTTTGCTTTGCTACCATTTATTCCAATTGAGGCCAGAAAGGAGGCATTGTCTTGTATATTCTTCAGTCGCAACTTCTCAAACTCAGAAATCTTCGACTCTTGCTGAAATGATAAAGTATGCTCATATAAATGAGTGATAGAAATTTTTGGATGATTTATCTAAAATTGATACAACATAAAATGGATATATTTTTGAAAATTTGATATCTACATCTTACCAGTCACTCATATGCCTGGAATGACCGATATTACTGAAATACAGGGTGGTCAAAAAAAATGGAAACCCTTACACCATTTTCCTCATATATTTGTCATTTTAAGAAATAACTCCCTGATATTTTGCACATTTGTACATCATTCAATTTCCTACCAGCCTATTTTATTTCATGACCATCAGATTGATAGTCACAATGTTACAGCACTTTACAGAACATGCCCTATTGGCCACTACTGCGCTGTCGGGCCACCTGCACTCGCCGTCCAAAATGTCCCTACCTGTAGGGATATGGCAAGCAAAAAGTGTATGAGAATGACCTCAGGACAATCACAAACCTCAAAAGTGAGATCATCCGTATCATTCAGGCCATACCTGCTGAGGAATGCATTCGGCGCATTGACAACTGTGCAGGTTTGCCTACAGCGCGATGATGGCCAAACTTGAAGCATGTTATTCAAAGTGCTGTAAAATTTGGTAATTTTGAAATTTGGTAGGGTGGTAGGAAATTGAATGATGTACAAATGTGTGAAACATTAGGGAGTAATTTCTTAAAATGACAAAGATATTAGGAAAATGCAGTGTTTCCATTTTTTTGACCACCCTGTATTACACAGCTGAAGGGACATACATTTAAGAGATAACAAAAATAACTTCATTTATTTACTACATGACTGCAAACAATATTGTTCTCTTTTCAACAAAAACAATAGTTCAGTGATCTCCCCAGCATTAAAGCAAGTTGGTGCAGCACCCACCTGAGATTTTGAAAATAGGCTTGCACCCATCTGAAAATCCATTTGCAGCCAAATCATGTAAAAGGCATATTTTGTACCCACTCGAGAAAAATCCTGTTACTTACCCTATCTGAATCATCTTCATCATCACTTGATTCTGTAGTATCCTCAGTCTTAATAGCAGATGAGGAAACCTATAACAAGAAAAAATATAGAAGCCTTAGAAAAGGTTGAAGTTAAGAGGTTTTTGAGTCTAATGATAACTTAACAATCTTATTTCACAAATAGGGCACAGGCCAGTAGCCATAGCCAGTCTTTACCAATGGAGGTTCATGTTTTGAAAAATTCCAGGGGGGTTCACTTGTCACAAATTTGGCCCAAAATGGCAAAAATCGCTTGAATAGTGCCTAGAATGGTGAAAAACTGCATGGTTTTGAAAGAATTTTTAGCCAGGGGTTCGTTTTTTAACCCCCAAACTAGCTTGAACCCCCTGACCCCCACTGACTATGAACCTGGGGCACAGATTCTGAAGCAAAATTAATATAGATCAGTCACAGCCGGGTTTGTAGAAAAAAACGGGTACCGGATACCGGGTAGTAAATCCTTCATGCTGGGTTCAAACTTGGTACACGGTCGAAAAAAACGGGTACCCCAAAAAACGAAAAATACGAATATGTAACATAATTAGATCATTAGAAAACGTGTAAGATTTGTTTTGAATTTACAAAAATGTATGTAACTTCCCTCAAAATTGAGCTAGAAGCTTAAAATAAAAAGCATTTTAAGGCTCTTTTCTTCCTCTATCATCATGGTATGGTCATATTCTCATTGGTTATGGGGGGGGAGGTGCGAACCCCCTCCTGGCTACGGCTATGACATTGTAAGACGATTTGAAAAACATGACAAATCAATCTTACTCTATTTTCAATAGTTCGTATGTTGATACGTGAATTGTTTTGATTATGATTTAAATCTGTAAATAGCTATCGTTACTTTAGCAGAGAGATGACGTGTGTTAATTTACATGGTGCAACGTGTAAGATTTTGATGATTAATCATAATTTAAGTTATCCCAAATTTTGACGAAACGTCCACTGAAGTGTAAATTGTTACGTCTTACAATGTCATAGGCGTAGATGATAGAGGAAGAGCTATAAAATGCTTTTTATTTGAAGGTTCTAGTTCAATTGTGAAGGAAGTAACATACATTTTTGTACATACGTAACATACGTTTTCTTTCGATCTAATTATGTTATACATGTATATTCGTATTTTTCGTTTTTTGGGTACCCGGTTTTTTCGACCGGGTACCGGGTACCAAGTTTGAACCCAGCATGGAGGATTTACTACCCGGTACCCGGTTTTTTCTACAAACCCGTCACAGCCTTTGACATAGGTAAATTGGGCGTTGAGGTGACCATGCACCCCCCCCCCTAGATTTGAAACAGAGTCTAGAATTGAAAGCTGTAGAGGTAATTAAGCCAATGACAGATATGATACTAAAGTTTGTATGGCTCACTTCAGCAAATCCACCTGTCATTTATTTATATTCAAAACTAAATTAAAAAAATTTCTCCCGATCCACACTTTTGAACGACCCATCCATATCCAAAGTCCCTTGGCAAATCCTTCTGACGCCCCTGCAGGAGAATTCATAAAAGAATTCCTGTAAGTTTCCTTGCATTTTAATTTGCCTAGAAATGTCATGTAAACCCTGGAGATGTAATGTGGATCTACCTACATGTAGTATGTGATGAGAATGAGATCCAATTTTTCCAAAAAAACTGGGTTCAAATTCAAAAAAGTAGATGAGGAGCCTGAAAACAACATAGCATGCAATCCATACCTTCCTTCTCTTTGCAGTGGACATCTCAACGTTAGTCTCCTTTCTTTTATTTCTAATTCCTGGCATATTTGGGGGTGTTTTAGTAAGTCTGTAATATATTAGCTTTCCCTGTAATTTTCCTAGTTTCATAACATTTAAAATGGCCGGATTACGCAAGTTTTCGCGGCAAATTTCACAGTTTCCTAGTTTTATATCAAATTTTGTGTAAATATGTTGTATATGTGTCAGATCTTATGAATAAGTAATTATATTACATGTATCTTCATGTTGAATGCATATTTAATTTTTAATCAACTATATTTTGTAGGGAAAAGCCCAGGTAAAAGTTTTGCATAGTTTGGGAAATTCGCTATAGCCGAGTTGAATTATTAGTAGTTCTCGCTTAGAAAATATAATTCCTCGTACAAAATATTTCAACTTTTCATTGATTTACATACACATCTGGTAAGTAAAAGTAATAATTTGTATGTTTAATCGATTTCATATATAGCCCCCTTCATTATGATCATTTATTCATGTAGTTTTAGGGCGTAGATCTCTTTAGATTAACTCAAATGATCAGGCATGTGAAAAACTAACATATTATCGCCCAGCAAAAAAAATTATTAAAAAACACGTGTGTGTTCACAAGTACATTTACAGTTTAGTTGAATATTTCGTTAAGATAAAATTATAGTGGAAAGTTCGGTGTAAATTCAAAGTCACAGAATGACTGACCTTCATTGTCGAAGTAGCCTATGTTTCTGTGGTTGGCCAAGATGGCTACACTGATTTGCTACATGTTCTGGGAAGAATGAGGTAAGAAGCTTTCATGTACATGCAGGGGGGGATTCCCCAAAGATGACCTTTTGTTTTGGTAGGTGCGATAACAAATTTTATAAACAGGCCTTATTTGCCATTGAAGTGGATATCTCAATGCTCGCTGTTGTTTTATGGGTATTCTCTGTGATTTTGGACCGAGTAATTTCAATAGTATAACCATAGTTTTGAAATGATGATGTTGAACTAATGAACAATTTCAAATGTTACTTTGCGCATGGACGGCACTGAGAGAACAGGTGTTAAGGTGACTGTTAACTTAATCGATTTTCAGAAAAAATTGAAAATTTCACAATCTTGAAATTCTTGAACAATCTTGAACATTTCAGAAAATATACTTCAAACATATATCAAAAACGAAGGAGCAACGGAAATTTGAAAAATTACCCGATAAAAAAATTGGGTTCAAAATAAGGAAAAAAGTACACTTCTAAAATTGTTTTTTTCTATTTTTTTAATTTGGATGAGAGATTTCAAAATTCTAAAGCTCCTTCCATTTTGAGCTATATTAAAGGGATGTTTCAGAGAAATTGGAAAAAATGTTCAGGGACCTTTGCCGTGCTACTCTTTTTGTCAATTTTTCTGTCACATTTTCAGAGGACTCAAATTCCCATTCCAAAATGTTTACTGTTTCTATTTGCATTACCACAGTGAGCCTGGTTATATAAATGATAAGTGGAACTAAAAAATTGAGAGAAAATCCAACCAAAAGACAGTTAATTTTGATGGTCAGATTATACTCAAATGCCATGTGCTTCCTGGTTTCGGCCATCTTGGATTTTTTGATTAAGTTATAAGTTACCTTAATGCTTGTTCACATGATCACATCCTGCAAATTGATTGAACATCATAGAATGGGGAATCCCCGGATATGATAGAATATGAAAGAATTATGGGAGCTACTCACTTCTTTTGATGTACATGTTTCAAATTTCATTTCCAGAAAAATGGTTAGAAAGAAAGTTGATAACCGTATTCGTGTGATGATTGAGAATGGGATTGCTGAGAAACATCGAAGCCTCTTTGTGATTGTGGGAGACCACGGCAGAGATCAGGTATAAGTCAATTTAATCTGTAGTGAAACCTATCTTGTTAGTGAACACCTGTGTCTAGTGAACACCTTTGTCTAATGAACACCCATTTTCAGCATATATACTCCACTTACTTCTGAATAAAATTACCTCTCTGTAGTGAACACTTACCTACAGTGAACACAGTTTTATGGCTCTATAGGTATTCACAGACTGTACACAGGTTTTACTGTACATGTAATCCATTCAACACAGGCTTTACTGTACATGAAATCCATTCAACAAAGGTTTTACTCTACATGTAATCCATTCAACTCAGGTTTTACTGTACATGTATTCCATTCAACTCAGGTTTTACTGTACATGTATTCAATTCAACTCAGGTTTTACTGTACATATTGTATTCCATTCAACTCAGGTTTTACTGTACATGAATTCCATTCAACTCAGGTTTTACTGTACATGTATTCCATTCAACTCAGGTTTTACTGTACATGTATTCCATTCAAATTGCATCCATCTCATTTAAAACCAGTTGACTGAGTCAGGAATAAGAAAGTTAATTAATTATTTCATACATACTTTTTTTCTTGTATTTTCATTTCTACTATCAGATCTGATGGATTTCATAAAACTTATGATTTTGTACTATCATATAAAATATTGATTTAATAATTGCCCCTCCTCCGAAAGTGCTCTTCAAATAAATTGTATTATGTTATGGCATATAAAATTCTTGTAAATGTGCCTCAGACCAGCAATGAATGAAATTTTAAATGTATTTTCCAGACTGTGATTCTGCACCACATGCTATCAAAGGCAGTCGTTAAAGCACGGCCTTCAGTATTATGGTGTTACAAGAAGGAGTTGGGTTTCAGCAGGTATGTTAGTCTTTTTTTATTAAGTAAGGTCCATTGGCCCTTATCTTTGGGGGGGGGGGGGGCTGAAGATGTTATCCTCCTGGATTGAGGCCATGATTTTCAAATTAACTGGCCCATATGACACATTACAGGGAATTCAAATGTTGTGAGTTGTATAGAAATCTCTAAACTTCATGTATTTCTTTTTTATTTAATGTAGTTAATGTTGTCTCCCCATGCACACATCGCTACCAATACAGCCCATCTGCAACAGTACCATAAAGCAATAACTTCCAATCGTAATACTCAAATGGTACCATACTCAAATATTACCATATGGGTCGCAGGTGGTACCATATGGTCCCATGCTCAAAATGTATGGTAAGAGATTTCAGGGATTGGGTTTGTACATGTACCTGTTAATCTTTTCTTTTTTTTTAAATTACTGTTTATTTATGCTCTGCAACTCTCAAACATAAACTTATGGTAATCATTTTATTACAGTCATAGAAAGAAACGTATGAGGCAGCTACAGAAGAAAGTAAAGAGTGGAAAGCTTGACATTAAGGATGACGACCCATTTGAGTTATTTGTAGCTGCGACTAACATTCGATATTGCTATTACAATGAAACACACAAGATCCTTGGAAATACATATGGCATGTGCGTTTTGCAGGTAAGAAATTAACCGAGTCTGGTAGGTGAGTTTTTAGAACTAATTAGTACTAATCAATGTGTTATTTTGAAATATTTTATGGATTACTTTGATAAAAAATCAAATATGATAATGATATGACAATTGTATGGTGACATAATGATGGAAATATTCAATAGCTCTATGTTTAACTAAATTTGCTTCTTTCTTTCAACCAATGAAAAGCAACATTTCTTTGAATTTATCACACATTTGCGAAGAAGATTCGATAACATACATTGACAGCATCATATGCTTATTTTTATCAAGCACACTTCCTCGTCTATGGCTTTCTGATATGTGCACTTAATTAAACACGCAATGCAGAAGTGTCAGCTTTGGCCAAACTTTTCTTCTATTTCATGAAGTCCCCTACCCACAAATCATAATTACATTATATTATTATATTTTTAGGACTTCGAGGCTCTCACGCCCAACCTGTTAGCCCGAACATCATAATTACATTTTATTATAATATTTCCAGGACTTTGAGGCTCTTACGCCCAACCTGTTGGCCCGAACGGTGGAAACAGTGGAAGGAGGCGGGATAATTGTGATCCTCGTCAGATCTGTCAACTCCCTCAAGCAGCTGTATACCATGTCTATGGTAGGTATACCATGTCTATGGTAGGTATACCATGTCTATGGTAGGTATACCATGTCTATGGTAGGTATCATTAGGTAGACCATGTCTATGGTAGGTACACCCTGTTTATGGTAGATATACCATGTATATGGTAGATATTACATGTCTAAGGTAGGTATACCATGTCTGTGGTTTGTAAAGTTTCCACTTGAAGTGGAATAAGTTATATATGTAGAGCTGGTTTTTAGGAATATCTGAACTATATGTTCATTTTGGTATGGCACAACCACTTACAGAGGCTCATCTACAGGTTTTTATGTCACCACAACCATAAGTGGTGGAATATTTTTGTAGTTTCTAACTTTTTTCTGGATGTGTTCTGTGGACAGTGATCACAATTTGGTGTCTGTAACAAATGGCAGGTAGTGGCATTTTGCATGTTAATGCCTCATTCTATAATTTGTTAAATGTATTATATAAACTATATTCTTTATTTATTTTAATTTATTTATATTAGTATTACATTAGGTAATTAAGTAATTACAAAGAAGCATCTTTAAGTGCTAATCGCCATGTGGGCATTATAAGCACTTTAGCAGAAGAAGTAATTAAAGTGGATGGAACAGGGAGGGGTCTGAGCTGAAGTGGGAATAGGTAAACAAGGCAGAGGGACAACCTATTTTGTCTGTGCCAGGCAAGGCAAGGTACAATGGGTTCTAGAAATATTCAGGTCAATATGAGATCAGCCATCTCTTAATGAAGCCAGAAGTCAAGGTCAATATGGGGCCAGCCATCTCTTAATGAAGCCAGAAGTCAAGGTCAATATGGGGCCAGCCATCTCTTAATGAAGCCAGAAGTCAAGGTCAAGGTCAATATGGGGCCAGCCATCTCTGAATGAAGCCAGAAGTCAAGGTCAAGGTCAATATGGGGCCAGCCATCTCTGAATGAAGCCAGAAGTCTAGGTCAAGTAAACTGTATTGTGTATTTTGTTGCAGGATGTTCATGCAAGATACAGAACAGAGTCTCATCAAGATGTTGTCTGCAGATTTAACGAAAGGTAAAATACATTTGATACAGGGTGTCCGTAAAGTATCTTCATTTAACACAAACTTTGTATTGTAAATTTGAAATTCTAAAGAGACTTTTTGGATACCCTGTCTATTTATCTGTCATTTTGAATTGTATACTGGATTTACTCTTTTTAAATTCAACCTTTCCCAAAATTGCAAACAACTTCGATCAGAACTTCCAGTGGTACAGTGGATTCTTAAATGATAGCAGAACCATGCATAATTGAACATTTATTTCATGCACTTATAACATGCACTTTTATAACATCCACTTTTATAACATGCATTTTCATAACATGCAATTTTATAACATGCACTTTCATAACATGCACTTTTATAACATGCACTTTCATAAAATGCACTTTAATAACATGCAATTTGAGTCATTTCTTTTTACTTCGAGAATATTGGAAAACTGTTTTGTTCTTCAACATGTATTGTTTTGACTCAAGTACGAATGAAATGTAAATACTGTTGCATTATGGTTTATAATGGTATCCTTTATTACTTATAGATTCATGCTGTCTCTCGCCTCTTGTAAAAGATGTCTTGTGATAGATGATCAACTGAACGTCCTTCCCATATCATCTCATGTCGCAAATATAACTCCAGTTACTCCCAAATCTAAGGTAAGTTGAAATTGAATGACAGACTGGGCTGGTCTTTTAAGTTAAGGTATGGTGAATTCTGCACATTCAAAGACCTCTCTTATCTGAACAATTTCTCTAATGTGAAGATTTAGGGGAGGCATCAAAAGTTCAATGTCTGATAGGAAACTAAATAAATCTAGTTTTGGGTTCAACCCCCCCTCCCCCCAAAAAGTTATATACCATGAAAATTGATCGCAGACTTTTCGCATGTTTTCTTGGACCTTGGACTTTCATGGGGCCATTATTAAGAATCCCTAAAACATGTGACAACAACAGTAGGCATAATATTCCAAATTGCATGCATCTTGACAAAAAAAGTATCAGGTAAAATCTTAATTTTAAACTATTCAAAGGCATTCTGACTTAAAATTGCAAAACGTTGAAATGTTGAAATTTGTCGGATGGCAAACTGAAATGGCTTTGACCCCCCTTACTAGATTTATTTAGTTTCCTATCAGGCATTGATCTTTTGATGCCCCCCCCTAACTGCTGTAGATTTCCAACGTTCAAGAACCTTAAAATGAGAGCATCTGCCAAATCAAGCACTTTTGGCCAGTCCCAGAGTTGAGATTATGGGTTTTTTACGGGTTTTCCTGAATAGACTGTAGGCCTACACTCAGGCCCATAGCCAGGATTTGCCAAGGGGGGATCAGTTTTCAAAAATTTCCAGGGGGGGTTCACATTTGACAATTTTTGCCCAAATATGGAGATGTGCTCAAAATGGTGAAAAACTGCATGATTTTGAAAGAATTTTTGGCTAGTGGGGGATCCAAATCCTGCGAAAAAATGTCCATATTTTGGCACATCCTGTATATTTGGAACCTAATCTTATAAAAGTGAATGAGAAATATAACTGTCTTCTTGTAGGAGGATGCTCTTAGCCCAACAGAACAGGAATTGAAAGAGTTGAAGGATTCGTTGCAGGACACTCAACCGGTTGGCTGTTTGATTAACTGCTGTAAGACACTTGACCAGGTAGGGAATGTCCTCTTGTAAGATATCTCTGTAATATCAAATGAATAGATTATTGAATATAGAAATCCATTGCTAATTTGAAAAAATGCTTCCAATGACATCATCAACTTGCCAATATATCATAACTTCTTTGATTCACCAAAAGGTGGCGTGATTAGGTCTTTTCATTGTGTTAAATTTTCATAATTCTTTTAGGCTAAAGCACTTTTGAAGTTTGTTGAAGCAATATCAGAGAAAACATTGAGAGCAACTGTTACCATGACAGCAGCAAGAGGGCGTGGTAAATCTGCAGCATTGGGCCTCGCTATGGCAACAGCTGTTGCATTTGGGTAGGTCAAAATGCTATGACAACAGAAACAGCTATTGCATAAAATGGGTACATCAAAATTAGCTCATGAAGATTTTCAACCAGTTCAGATTTTCATTCTCAAATCTTGTCTGTGATTTTCTGTAAATAAGTTTCCAGGCAAACTAGATTGTTGGATTGCTCTTACTTTTTTTAGAGTAATACTTCTCTATGATTTTCAGTATATATCTACAAGGTCCCAAGATTCTTGACATTCTCGCTTTTGAAGATTGCATTATAGATTTATAAAGATGTCTCTTGCTTTGGAAATATCTACAAGTTTCAAGATCTATGGCATGCTGGTTTTAAAGATGGCATATTTGGATTTCCCATCCTGAAATCTCACTTGTAAAGTCTTGCACATTGCCAAACTCTGTCTCGTTTTATTTCAGGTACTCCAACATATTTGTGACATCACCAAATCCAGAGAATCTGAAAACTCTGTTTGAATTTGTATTCAAAGGCTTTGATGCTCTAGAGTATCAAGTAAGTGATTTTGTTTTAAAATCTATTTCATAGTTTTTTGTTTTGTGTTTATATATTGAAATTTGTTCGAGTAAAATTGAATTATTTAAGAAATATGAAGTAAGACGAAATGTTGTTGATGCTATGGTTACCTTGAATTTGAATACAAAGTAAGTGAAGTTTACAGTAAAACCCATATTATTTGGACACCCACTGGGACAGGCCAATATTGTTAAATTTTGCACAGTATTTGAGTTGAAACTTGGAAAATACTCATCATGCTAAATTACCTTAAGCTAAATTTAGAGATTTTGTTTTTTTCAGGAGCATCTTGATTATGAACTTGTTCAGTCAACCAATCCTGACTTCAACAAAGCCATCGTGCGTGTCAACATTTTCAGAGAACATAGACAGACAATCCAGGTATTGAGAACACATTGAACACACAAGACTGCCAAGGGTTATATCATGGGCTTAACTCGAAAGTTTTGAATAATTTTGCCTGTAAATGAAAAGAATCATATATTGCAAATATTTTCCTCCCTTGCCTTCAGTCAAGTTAATTTGTTATTTCCAAACTTTAAAGACATAAATCAACAAGGCAGATTGCCTGAATAATGACGGTTTGTAACCAATTAGAAAAAGAAAGAAAGAATTCCTTCCAGTGAATAAAGAGAATATTAATGAAATACATATAACAGGTATTAGATTGCAGGGTAGCGATTGCAGTACATTCACCTCACAGATGCCCATGAGCTTCGCCAAGCAGAACTTGTATGTATTGACGAGATTTCTGCTACACAACTGCCTGTAGTAAATAAAATATTATTGAAATACATAACAAGACTTATTTTAATCTTTGCAGTACATTCACCCCACAGATGCCCATAAGCTAGGCCAAGCTGAACTCGTATGTATTGATGAAGCTGCCGCAATACCATTGCCACTAGTGAAGCAGTTACTGGGCCCATATCTTGTTTTCATGTCTTCGACAATAAATGGGTAGGTAGTAGTAAAATTAAACAGTCCCTTTGCTCTGGATTTTGTACAGATGAATAAAATATGAAATGTGTAAAATCTTACCATATAATGATTTCAGAAAAACATAGATTTCACTGACAATGAACTAATGTTTTATTTTATTTCATGAACTATGGGACCATGTCAGGATTTCAGTATTGTACCAAAACACAATGACATTTCAGGTTGATGAAGCCTACCCACTTCGCCTCAAAATGTGTTGTTGTTATGTCACCATTAGAAATGATGACATATTAATATTATAATAGTCTCCAACTTTTTCATGGACGGTGCGCGGCATTCTGTGCTTGGTTTTTGGCAGTTGGTGTTTGGCATTTGGTGGTTGGTGTCTGTAACAAATGCCAGGTGGTTACATTCCCTTTGTTAATGCCTTATATTATTATATAGATTGTGGGGGTTCTTTTCTTTGTATTACTAACCAAAATGTTTTACATTAATGTTATTTGTTCTAGGTATGAGGGCACAGGAAGATCACTGTCCTTAAAGCTCATAAGTCAATTAAGAAAACAGAGCGCCACCTATGGGGCAACTAGTAATGCAAATAAATCAATAGAGGGCGCCACTAAATCTGCATCAGGTAAGTACATGTATTGCACATATGCTCTGGTTTGTCTAATGGTTTAACATATAAGTTACACTTTTACTACATAGTACATAAAATAAATATTATTACTCAACGGCAGAGACATCTTTTTGTTTCTTATGTCACTTTTTCCTATACTCTCTAAAGTTGCATTGAATAGCCATATACAACAAGAAATGTATTATGAAATTCATAATTTCAGGTCGAATATTACACGAGACCACACTGAATGAATCGATACGTTACCAAAATGGCGACCATGTTGAAAAATGGCTGAATGAAATTTTGTGCCTGGATGCCGGGAATGTAGCGCGAATAACATCAGGGTGCCCTTTGCCCGAGAAATGTGATCTGTATTATGTCAACAGGGACACTTTATTCAGTTACCATAAAGCGTCAGAGGCTTTCCTACAGAGGCTCATGGGGCTTTATGTGGCATCGCATTACAAGGTAGGGGTTGCCATAGAGGCCTATGGGGGTTTATGTGGCATCGCGTTACAAGGTAGGGTTTGCCATAGAGGCCCACGGGGCTTTATGTGGCATCGCATGACAAGGTAGGGTTCGCCATAGAGACCAATGGGACTTTATGTGGCATCACATTACAAGGTAGGGTATGCCATAGAGGCCCATGAGACTTTATGTGACATCGCATTACAAGGTAGGGGTTGCCATAGAGGCCCATGGGGCTTTATGTGGCATCGCATTACAAGGTAGGGTATGCCATAGAGGCCCATGAGACTTTATGTGGCATCACATTACAAGGTAGGGTATGCCATACAGGCCCATGGGGCTTTACGTGGCATCACATTACAAGGTAGGGGTTGCCATAGAGGCCCATGGGGCTTTATGTGGCATCGCATTACAAGGTAGGGGTTGCCATAGAGGCCCATGGGGCTTTATGTGGCATCGCATTACAAGGTAGGGGTTGCCATAGAGGCCCATGGGGCTTTATGTTGCATCGCATTACAAGGTAGGGTATGCCATAGAGGCCCATGAGGCTTTATGTGGCATCGCATTACAAGGTAGGGTATGCCATAGAGGCCCATGAGACTTTATGTGGCATCACATTACAAGGTAGGGGTTGCCATAGAGGCCCATGGGGCTTTATGTGGCATCGCATTACAAGGTAGGGGTTGCCATAGAGGCCCATGGGGCTTTATGTGGCATCGCATTACAAGGTAGGGTATGCCATAGAGGCCAATGGGTCTTTATGTGACATCACATTACAAGGTAGGGTATGCCATACAGGCCCATGGGGCTTTATGTGACATCACATTACAAGGTAGGGGTTGCCATAGAAGCCCATGAGGCTTTATGTGGCATCGCATTACAAGGTAGGGGTTGCCCTAGAGGCCCAATGTGGCATCGCATTACAAGGTAGGGGTTGCCATAGAGGCCCATGGGGCTTTATGTGGCATCGCATTACAAGGTAGGGGTTGCCATAGAGGCCCAATGTGGCATCGCATTACAAGGTAGGGGTTTCCATTGAGGCCCATGAGACTTTATGTAGCATCGTTTTACAAGGTAGCGGTTGTCATAGAGGCCCATGGGGCTTTATTTGATGGTGCCTTTTAAGGGTTTTCAGTGGAAGCCCAAGGGACTTTATTTTGAGTCATACTACAATTCTGTAAATTACAGAAACTCATGAGGAAACCATTTATGGCATCTGTGACAAACTGTTACACTTTTGGAAGTGTAACCAGGAGGGTTACATCTTTTCATGTTAATGCTGAGAATCATACATGTACGATAACAAATAAACATTCTCTTGGAGTAAATGAATAAAAACTAACTTTAGATTGCCACAATAAAGTTGTTGTCAACCCCAAATCTCGTCTTTTTTATCATAGGAACTAATAAATAAATAAATAAAATAAAATAGATAAATAAATAAAATAAATAAATAAAATTGTGATTGAAGAAATTTGTTTTGATGTTGATCCAACCATTGATATTTAGGACTATTTGTAATATTGTTTTTCAGAATACTCCAAATGACCTTCAGATGCTATCGGATGCCCCTGCTCATCATATATTCTGTCTGCTAGGCCCCATCGACCCTAACAGTGTATCAGGGCTGCCAGAGGTGCTATGTGTTTTACAGGTATGTACTATCACATAAAATGGGAGGGGGGGGGTTGGGCTACACATTTTTAAGTGTACTTTTTATATCAACTTTTTTATGACCCCCAGGGATTACCATGACCCTATCCCAAATGTATCAGGCCTGCCAGAGGTGCTATGTGTTTTACATGTATGTACCCTCTTAATGGCAATGTAATATGACGATCCCCAGGAAATACTGTCCCCTCTCAATTTTTATTGAGTTTACAATTTTCATCATTTTTCACTGTGTCTTCTTTCATTTATTTCAATTCAATTCAATTTGTTTATTTCATAAAAACACATACAGTATAGTATACAATGAGTGGGTGACACAAGTGTTTGTGTTCACACATACAATTTTCAATTCCAGGTTTGTTTAGAAGGTGAAATCTCAAAATCAACCATAATGAACAGTTTGTCTCGAGGGAAGAGGGCTGATGGCGACCTTATACCATGGACTATTTCTCAACAGGTACTTGTTCAGTTTTTTATGTCACCACCAGAAGTTTCCAACTTTTTTGTGGACAGCAGTTGGCTTTCCTAATATCTCTTTAAATGAAAACTCCCATATTTCATATTTAGAAATCTTGAAATGGGAACACTTGCTTATCTGAACACTTATGGGCGATCCAAATAGCGTGAGAATGAAGACTCTGTTTATTGTAAATATTGAATGCTTTTTAACCTCTTGAAAAGTTGCATAGGTGTGTAGTAAAATGTCAAAAATGGCAAAAAAGAAAAATTCTCTGGTTTCAACCAATTTTTAAGTCTAGGATTTAAGAGCTTAAGAGGCAACCACAAGGTCGTAAGTTTAAGAGACTTGAGCTCCTTGAGTTTTTTCATTTCTTTAAGAGGTGGTTTTGACAACTCTTCACACTTAAGCAAATATGAATAGATTTTTGTCGGAAACAATCGAGACTGTGTCTTATGTTGGTTCTGCTGTCAACTATTTATAATCTGATGACGTTAATTGCCAGACATGTTGTTGGAAATTTGAATTTTATGTGACGCATATCTCATATCAGATGTTTGGCCAAAGGTGAATATAAGTAAAGGAAATGATATTCAATTTCCCCACCTATCATTTCCTCTGTCTCCACTCTCAGTACATCTTGGTATGATTAGTTCAAGGCAGAAATGTTAGTTCACTTAAGTAAAGGTGACCATTTGGACTTTTCGCTATTCTAAAATCTTGTCTATTTTAAAAATGATTACTGTTAGACTTTCAGAATGATGGTGAAACTTCCAAAACTGGATGTTGCTGTTTAGACTATTTATAATCTTATCACGTATGTTGCCAGACAATGTTTCCTGTTATTTCCCCGTCTCAATTAGTTTTTATTTTATCATTTCAGTTCCAAGATCATGATTTCCCCAGTCTATCAGGAGGGAGGGTGGTTAGAATAGCCACCCATCCAGACTATCAGGGGGTAAGTAAGAACAATGGAATAGTGGTGATTGATTTGGTGGAAAAGGATGACGTTTTTGTAAGGAGGAACTTAACCCGAGCTATGACAATAGATCCGTTTCCATGACAACATGGCTGTATGGACCTGATATATTGCAAAATTTAGCTTTTTTCTTAATAAACAAGATTATAACGCATGTGACCTACATTTAAAATCAAAACTTAATGGCAGATCTGTGCCTCCTATGTTACTGTAGAAAAAGAACTATTCTTCCACAGTAAATGACAAGGCAGTTGCCATGATTACATTATAATCTTAACACAACAAATATTCTGCTAAGGTTTGTTGCATTACAGGGTATAGCGACTTCAAAATCCATTTAGTATTCATTTTTATTTAATCATCTTATGTAATGGTGCGACAAATATATATTGATGTGACATGCAATTTCTGTCACACCACTTTGTGGTATTGTCACACCACAGGGAGTAGTTATTACCACGGTTATTATCATATTGGATTTTTAAAAAAAAGTTCCCTAAGGTCTATACCATTTTCATCACAGATTATGAAATATCAGTGAAAGTGGATAACAACCTCGGGGAAAGATATCATTAATATCCTGTTTATGTAAATCGGTCACCTTCATCAAGTTTAGAAACGTTGAAAATTGCTGAATGAATGTCATTGTAACCAGTCTCTTTCCACGTCCTATATTTTTTTGTTCTAGACTATTTGAGACTCCGCAACGAACTTCGTCTGAACCTCCCTTCAGTCATCTCATTTTAGTTTCTTAGATGGATGTATTCCAGACTGTTATATATAAAATGATCCAGTAAGGCTAAAGTAAAGGAAATTAATGTTTTGCAAGTCCCTTCAAATCATGATTAACCCTTTAACAACGAAAGGCTCCATATGGAGCCCTATTACATAATACCTTTCAGGGGGTCATTAACAGAAACTTCCTAAAGTTACGAATTCATAAATTAATTGTTGTTACCATGGATACAATGACGTCACAGTTAGAGGACAATGGACTTTACGAATTCTTAACTTTATGAAGTTTCTGTTAATGTCTCAATTGTTAGGCTCTTATTGGTACCACTATTTTTATTTACAGACATTAAAGAAATGGCAACATCTCCAGTTCTATGACAAGTTGTTGACAAATGATAATGCTTATTAGAAATTGTATTTTAGTGATAAAATTTAAAGTATAGGTACCTCGGTATATGTCATTTACAGTTTTTACCTGGAAACCACTCTTACTTATCTGTCACCAGGCCAACATTTTCCTCGAATATTCATGTCGGGAAAGGGTCAAGGTCAAGGTTAGGTCAAGAGGCACTTAAATTCATAAAAGACTTTCCAAAGCACTCCTTTATAAAAGCTATCATGTAAGAAAATTGTGCATTATACAACCAACAATGCATTAAACCCTGTGCTTAAATCCTTGTGCTTTAACTTAAATGATAAATGCATTTTCACGCAGATGGGTTATGGCAGTCGAGCGTTAGAAATCCTGCAGCAATATTACGAAGGAAAAATCCCAAATCTTGGTGAGGACTCGGAAACCATCGAGGAAGCCGCAATAGTCGATAAAGAAACTGTCAATCTACTGGAAGAACGAATAACACCACGGAAGAATTTACCCCCTCTATTGTTGAAATTGAGCGAAAGGCCGCCAGAAGTGCTCGATTACCTTGGAGTGTCGTACGGAATGACATCAGAGCTTTTACGATTTTGGAAAAAGTCTGGGTTCACTCCTGTGTATCTGCGACAGACTCCGGTAAATAGTTACCTAGTTAATATAAATATTATTAAATCACTGTCATATTTCCTAATCTCTTACACATTCCATGTGACATATATAAAAATAAGAAGATGTACTCATTGGCCAATCCTGTGTGACGTCAGAAAAAGGCATATTCAATGAGGCGTATTCAATGTAAATCTAAAATTGAATGCATAATGATATGAAAAAAGGTAGAGACGAAAGTATATCATTTTTTATGTCACCACCAAAAAGTGGTGACATATTGTTATGGTCTCCGTTTTTTATGTCACCACCAAAAAGTGGTGACATATTGTTATGGTCTCTGTTTTTTTGCGACGGCGGTTGGTGGTTGGCGTCCGGCGTCTGGCGTCCGGCGTCTGTAACAATTTCTTACAACTTCCTATAACTTAACAAATACTGTTTAGACTGACTTCAATTTTTTCTAAATCATCAACATCTTCTCAGAAGTTCAAATCTGACTTTACATTTGACATTTGACCTTCAATGACCTTCTCAAGGTCAAAAAGGTCTTTTTTCAACTTGCTTCACATTGACTAAATTTTTTTTCAAAATCATCTACATTTTCTCAGAAATTCAAATCTGACTTTAGATTTGACATTTGACCTTCAAATCTGACTTTAGATTTGACATTTGACCTTCAATGACCTTCTCAAGGTCAAAAAGGTCTTTTTTCAACTTGCTTCACATTGACTAAATTTTTTTTCAAAATCATCTACATGTTCTCAGAAATTCAAATCTGACTTTAGATTTGACATTTGACCTTCAAATCTGACTTTAGATTTGACATTTGACCTTCAATGACCTTCTCAAGGTCAAAAAAGGTCAAAAAGGTCTGTTTTCAACTTGCTTCAAATTGACTAAAAAAAAATTTCAAAATCTACGTGTTCTCAGAAATTCAAATCTGACTTAAGATTTGACATTTGACCTTCAAATCTGACCTTCTCAAGGTCAAAAAAGGTCAAAAAGGTCTGTTTTCAACTTGCTTCAAATTGACTAAAAAAAAATTTCAAAATCATCTACGTGTTCTCAGAAATTCAAATCTGACTTTAGATTTGACTTAAGATTTGACATTTGACCTTCAATGACCTTCTCAAAGTCGAAAAAGGTCAAAAAGGTCTTTTTTCAACTTGCTTCAAATTGACAAATTTTTTTTTCAAAATCATCTACATGTTCTAAGAAATTCAAATCTGACTTTAGATTTAACATTTGACCTTCAATGACCTTCTCAATGTCAAAAAAGGTCAAAAAGGTATTTTTTCATCTTGCTTCAAATTGACTAATTTTTTTTTTCAAAATCATCTACGTGTTCTCAGAAATTCAAATCTGACTTTAGATTTGACTTAAGATTTGACATTTGACCTTCAATGACCTTCTCAAAGTCAAAAAAGGTCAAAAAGGTATTTTTTCAACTTGCTTCAAATTGACTAAATTTTTTTTTCAAAATCATCTACATGTTCTCAGAAATTCAAATCTGACTTTAGATTTGACATTTGACCTTCAATGACCTTCTCAATGTCAAAAAAGGTCAAAAAGGTATTTTTTCATCTTGCTTCAAATTGACTAAATTTTTTTTTTCAAAATCATCTACATGTTCTCAGAAATTTAAATATGACTTTAGATTTGACTTTAGATTTGACATTTGACCTTCTCAAGGTCAAAAAAGGTCAAAAAGGTCTTTTTTCAACTTGCTTCAAATTGACTAATTTTTTTTTCAAAATCATCTACATGTTCTCAGAAATTCAAATCTGACTTTAGATTTGACATTTGACCTTTAATGACCTTCTCAAGGTCAAAAAAGGTCAAAAAGGTCTGTTTTCAACTTGCTTCAAATTGACCAAATTTTTTTTTTAAAATCATCTACATCTTTTCAGAAGTTCAAATTTGACTTTACAAGTTCTCAGAAGTTCAAATCTGACTTTAGATTTGACCTTTGACCTTCAATGACCTTCTCAAGGTCAAAAAGGTATTTTTTCAACTTGCTTCAAATTGACTAATTTTTTTTTCAAAATCATCTACATGTTCTCAGAAGTTCTTCTTAAGGTCAAAAGGTATTTTCCAGCTTTAAATTGTCCAAATTGTTTTAGGTGGTGACATTTTGTCATGTTAATGCCTTGTTTGTTCTTATAAGAACGTTGTCTTCTAAGACATTCCCAGTGGCATAAATAAGAGAGTGGGAACATAACAGTGAATAATAAAACAAATATTTCATATTATTTTCGGTGAATACCCGTTGCACATTGTATTTATCACTGTATATCTTGTTTTTATTATTCTATTTATAGACTTCCCAGAGCTTTGGTACATGTGTTTATTATCCATGTATTTTCATGAAGATCTCATTTGCAGCCTTGGGTCTTATGATCTTATTTGATTTTTTATTATTTTTTCTTAGAATGAGTTGACAGGGGAACACTCTTGTATCATGTTGAAATTGCTTAACAAAGGAGGTGATGATGAGACCAGCAAACTCAACACAGAGAGCTGGCTTTATGAATTCTGGACAGGTGAGCTATCCTCCTTTGTCACAATATTAGGTCACATGTTATTTTTGGATTTTTTTTTTTATTTATTTAAAGTAAAATATATGAGGTACATCTGTAATTTGGAAATATTTTATTTTACTTTTAATTATTTTTTAACTTTTTACTTTGAAAGCCCCAGAATATATGAAACCTTCACAAATCAAAGAAATCAGTTTCAGTTTTTTTTTTTTTTTTATCATTCATTTATAGTTTGAGAATTATTCATGATTTATAAATTTTTGCGTTATTGAAGTAAGAACTAAGAAATTTATTTCTCATTGAGTTTTTAATGTTCATATGGTCTGAAGGGATTTATTTTTATTTTTCGTATTTTCTCTCATTTCAAGTTTGAACCAACATGTATCTATAATATTTAATAATATATATATTTTGATGTTTGTACAAAAAGATTTCTGCAAAAGGTGTATGTGAAACATAACACAGCGTCATTTTAGCCTATTTTAATGATTTTACTAAAAGCTTATGTTTCATATTTCTCTACGGATTTTAGTAAAAAATGTATTGTTTGTATACTACTTATATGTAATATTGACGCACCTTTGAGTGCCACTGTTATAAAAGTGACTGTCAAATAAATAATAAATAAATAAATATATATCAATATAATAATAGTATAAAATTCTATTTTTCAGATTTTAGACGACGGTTTCTCTCTCTTCTATCCTTTGAATTCAAGAACTTCAAACCGGCTTTGCCTCTTAGTATTCTACAACAGAAGAACTTCACCCAAGATGTGAAAGGTAAAATCTCATTTCTATAAAACGTATCTTATGCGAACACCTCTTAGTATTCTACAACGGAAGAACTTCACCCAAGATGTGAAAGGTAAAATCTCATTTCTATAAAACCTATCTTATGCGAACACCTCTTAGTATTCTACAACGGAAGAACTTCACCCAAAATGTGAAAGGTAAAATCTCATTTCTATAAAACCTATCTTATGCGAACACCTCTTGGACTTGGCAAAAGTGTTCACATTAGCAGGTGTTTTAAAAATCAAATTTAAGGTATGTCCATTTTAAGATTGTGTTCACATTAGAAAGGTGTTCTGATGTACAGGTTTCACCGTACTGTATTTTCTCCATCAGTTTGCATAGAAAGCATCCTTTAGGCAAATTATTGTCTTTGATGGACACATCTTGTTTGTATTTTGTCAATTGTGTAATTAAGTAAATAAAATAAGATCAAATATTTTGTACCCATATTAGCCTAACCTTTATTCCTGTAGCCAGTGTTTACCAAGTGTCAGTTTTTGAAAAATTCCGGGGGTCAAAAAATTGATAATCTTGGCCTAAAGCCACATGTATTTAGTGCTTAAAGCGGTGAAAAACTACTGTGTGATTTTGAAAGAGTTTTTAGCCAAGGTGGCTCTCTAAACCCCACTGGACCCCACCTTAGCTTTGACTATAAGCATTGAGCCTAAGAGTATTGAGAAAACTTTAATATGATTTCAAAGACAGTTCACCAAGGTGAGCCCAAAGGCAAGTCACGCCTAACTAACATCATGTTAGTTATTCGTAGAAGAAATCAACACCTTCAATTTCCTGATATCTTAGAAAATCACGTTAGTCTGTAGTCTTGTTAAGGAAATGTCGGATGCTCAGTGATTGGATAAGAGGTAGTGTTGACCGAGAGGAGGCTCTATAGATAGACATAACAGTATTTTATAAAGAAATAAAAATATTTTAATAAAAAAGATAGAGAGAGGCAAACATTCCTCTCCGATATCAATCTTGATTCCAGTCAGACTTTTGATGGCAAAACAATATGGCAAAACAAGACAGGGTTTTTAGTTTCTTTATCATTTATAATGATATCACAGTGGTTTGTTTTTATTTGAAATTTCTAAAATACACTTTTTATTTTCATTGTTTTAAAATACTTAAAGTGCATGATGCAGGTGATTTTTTTATACATAAATTTATTCCTTTAGTTAACAATAATAGACATGCAATTGATTACCAAAGTTTTTAAAAAAACATTAGCGGCAATTTTTGACAATATGAATAGGAATGCTTTAAAATTTATCTAAGTAATGCAAGTGATTAAAGTCTGTTCAATTATGATTCAAATAATTACTGAGAAATTGATTTGCTACCAGATGTAAAGGAAGAATAATCATTAGGTGTATTCCCTCAGACGTTTTTATTGTAACTTATAAAACCAAAGGACCTGGAGTGTTAGCAATATTAAGAGCAGGACATTTGCTATATAATATGGCACTATTACAGTAATGTCAAGTCTATGATGACATGACAAGTCTGTAATTACATGGCAAGTCTGTAATTACATGGCAAGTATGACATGGCAAGCCTTTGATGTAATGACAAGTCTGTGATGATATGGGGATTTCCCAGTGGGGATCGAACCCATGACATGACAATTCTGCGATGACATGACAAGTCTGTGATGACATGACAAGTCTGCGATGACATGACAAATGTGTAAAGACATGGCAAATCTGAAATGATATGATAAGTCTGTGATGACATGACAAGTCTTTGATGACATGAGAAGTCTGTGCTGACATGACAAGTCTATGATGACATGACAAGTCTGTGATGACATGACAAGTCTGTGATGACCTGACAAGTCCGTCATGACATGACAAGTCTGTCATGACATGCCAAGTCTGTCATGACATGACAAGTCTGTCATGACATGACAAGTCTGTCATGAGATCAAATTTTAAAATGTCAGTTATTCAGTGTTTTCCACACTTTTTCCATCATTGGCAGTAATATTTTTAGTTTACTCTGATTTATATGTACAATTATAACATTTGGTCTAAGTCTCTCAAATTGTATCCATTGACAGTAAAGTTTTTCACCTCTAGGGGGCACTCCAAGCAATTCAATAAATGCCCCCATATGTGTGTCATCGGGCCAAGTAATGGGTGTCCGACAATATAAACGATTGACTGACCTCACAGCTTGTAAATTCATTAAGAATCCACTTCCGCCAAGGTAAGTTGGATATTGCTTTGATTCCCAGACGACAGGAGAATCTTGAGCCCATTTTTCAAACTTTTTATCGCCATGATGTATGATGTTCATATTAGTCGAAGGGCAGCCCCAAAACACATTATCGCTTTCTGTCGTTATTTTTGAAAGTTCATTTATCTTTTCAAAAAATCGTCCAAAATGAAAAACAATATCATGTGTCCCTCTGAAGACGTATTTTGCGTTGGCACAATATTTCTCCACCCATTTTAATGCCATCATTACTTTGAGGCTCATATCTCTATAGGCGTCCCCGCAGCTCGCTTGTATGATGTCACCATACTTTTTAGATTCATCAGCAATGGAAGCCATTCTATGCGTGTCATTGGTTGATCCCATTAGGTAGACTGTTCGAATTGTCCAATCAGAGTGGGTTTTCACACCTGCCCAAGTTTCACGTAAAACTTCCCGCGTCGCTTTTGCATTCTCTGCAATTAAATTGAATGAATGTCAATTGTGAATGGAGATTCGTAAAGTAAGATAACACTTTTAACTTGAAAATTATCAACAATTGTTGCATCACATCTTTTGTTTTTTGCTATTTAAATCAAGTCAAGAATTATTAAAGGCCCTATATAAAATTTAAATAACTTTGGATTATACATTTATTTGCATGATTATACATTTATTTGCATGATTATTCATTAGAGCCTTTAAAGCACATTTTTGATCTAAATACCTCAACTCTACCAATATAAAGAGCCATTCCTTTGTTATATGTAAAAGTTAAAGGCTTATTAAAGGTTTACTTTTGTTTTATGGCTGCCACATCTGTAAATGGGTTGGATTAATGTTCAATATTCATAAAAAGTGTTTATAAATTGCTCTAATGAAAAGATGCAGGTGAATTCTTATCATTAATTTTGTATTTCTTATCTTCACCATGAGTATTTTCTGGGCATAAATACAGTGGTTTTTATATGTTTTCTTTAAAGTTTCGGGTAAATTAAAAAAATAGAAAAAGGAATTGAATGTCCTAAGTCCTGTGGAGAAGCCTGCAGCCTCTGGAACAAATGCTAATACCACTTGTGTTTATTTATTTTATTCTATTTTTTATTTCATTAAAACATTATAACATTTGGACATGTCAGTGTTCAGCATATTACCTTGATCGGGAGAAATGTTTTGCATGCATTATTTCCGTCAAAAAAATAAATAAATAAATAGCAGTCACTATTTGTTTACTGTACCTGCATTGTATACACATTGCTTGAGGAAATGAGTAATTTAGATAATAATTATTATGTAACATGCCTATGATCAACAGACAATTAACTTGTGTTTAAAATATTAATTTAATTATAGGTGATACTGGGAATTTATTTTTTTTCATTGATGAAATCAAATATATTGGAATCAGATATATTGATTGTAATAAGTACTAAAAGTTTCATCAGTTCCAAAATCAGCCTAAAGTTAACACATCTTAAAATGTAGCAAAATTAATATGATAACATTTGAGGTGAATCTCCTTTCACCATGGATGGATTGTTTTGATTTTAAATATATTTCAAATCTGGCTGTTCTAGAACTTGGAATAATTAGAGGAAGTTAGTCTAAAAAGTCAAATATGACACAGCTGTATCAGTTTTAATCTTCTTAATAGAGAGCTTTCAATATAAGTTATCATCAATATTTTGACTTTGTCACTTAACTTGTATTGTTGTAAAATACCATATTGACTTTGTCCTTGTACAATTAATTGTAAAATACTTGCTCACCTGTGGTGTCTGTTATTACAACAAATATGATAAACTTTTCATTTTTAACTCCACTGCAGACATCACTTTCAAGGTGAACAAATTTGAAATCATCCAAATAATTGTTTTGGAAACGTAAATTGTAAAATTCCACTGGAACTTTAGATGCATTTGTTCTTTCAACTATTTGTGGTACATCTTTGATTTGGACATGTGCACATTCTTTGTATGTCGAGTTTGGTGTTTCAATGTTTTGGCTACTCCTCGTTTCTTGTAACCCTGTCTCGATTTTGTCTATCTTCGCAGCTTGTTCCTGAATAAGATTTGTTTGTTCATCGAGCTTCAGTTCAGATGATTTAGCCAGTCTAATCAGCTCTTTGATGTCATTTTGTGTCTTTATATTTTCCTCATTTCCATGATTTGGTTGATAAGTTGGAACTGGTGTTTTGTGGTGTTCCCTCTCTTCCAATTTGTTATTCTGTGTTTTATATAAAGTTTTAAAGTTAATGAAACTAACAATTATTAGAATGATAAATAGTAATAGTAATGGAGTCTGCCATCGTCGCATTTTTACTTGTTGTAATTTTGTCGCTTGTCCAAATGTCCATATGCTGTATGTGCCTTAAATTAAACCAATGTGAGTTTACCACACCAATTAGTGTACATGGGCACGTGCAATACATACATGTACACATATAGTTTCATTTTTGAATTGATTGCGACCTGCAGTGCTTCTGGGGTTATTCACTTAGTCTCCATCAATGATCTCATTATTTTTTAATTTTATAATTATAATTACACTTCTATTCAGCAACTAATAAGTACAGAGTTCAATTTTGTATGCACTTTCTAACAGTATACTATATTGTATATAGATTGAATGGGAAATGTTAAAAATGAACCTTAAAAATTGAATGTACTTTTTCAATCTTTTCATCGTTGTCATGCAAGTCTTGACTAAATAGAAAAAAGAATTAATTTTCAAGCTATATTGATTATATACAGATTTTTTATTCGTACCAACATAGAAAACATTAAAGGCAGCATGTAAAGTTAAACAACTGATGCTGCTAAGTCTGACTTATTGCTATTAAAATTGGAGATGTGAACCTTTTTTCAATATCTTTTGAAACTGACTAATAACATGAAAAATTGTGAACTTTTAGAATAAATTCTGGTATATGGTAACACACTTTTGAAGGAATTATGTGTGCTTGAATGTACATTCTGAATATTCTTATCTATTTTAAGTTGAAAAATTGAAAACAATCAATAGAAAAATGAGAGAAAAAATTATCATGTGTGCAGAGAATATTGTATTTAAAGTGTTAAGTTTCATTTTAGACTAATGTGTCATGTTTTGATTCAATGGTTAATAATAGAAATATATATATTGAAATTAAAAATGTTTAAATTATGAATCAATCAAGATTTTTACTCACGTTTTATCACTTAATGTATACACAAGAAAAAGGCACTGAACAAAAATTCCTGGGAATTTTATTTTTAAAAATTGGTGGAGACTTAATTTGGTGGTTTCTATCCATCCGCCAAATCTGCCAAATTAAAATGGCTATCAAATTAAAGCAATTTACAGTATACAACACACAACCTCTGTGTGTTTATTCAATTTTAAAAATGGGAACATATTGTAAAAATGGTGACATATTGTAATAATATGTGAATGGCAGTTGGTGTTTGGAGTTTGTTGGTTGGTGTTTGTTGTCTGTAACAAATGGCAGGTAGTGACATTTTTCATGTTAATACCTTGTTTAGATAATTCAAATAATTTTCTTAGGTTTTATATATGGGGACTGTTTTAAGGCATTCTCTTATAACACTTAAATGGCACACCTTAAATCATATATTTTCATGGATCAGGGGTTTAATATAATTTTTACAACAGGCTAGATAAATGAAAACAACAGGCAAAATTAATGGAAATTATGAATTAAACTTGGAAAAGTTGAAAATTCCCTAAAAACAACAGGAGATTTTGTGAAAACAACTAGATAAATGAAAACAACATGCAAAATCAATGGAAATTTTAAATTTAACTTGGAAAAGTTGAAAATTCCCTGAAAACAACAGGAGATTCTTTGAAAACAACTGGTGAAAATTGTGTGTTACCTGCTACTAATTAAACCCCTAAGGATAATTCTGTATTATTTCAGGGCTTACAAATGATGAGATAGAAACACAGTTTACAAAGTATGACATCAAAAGACTAGAGCTCTACTCACAGAATATGGTGCATATAATCTGTGTTTGTATTTTCACGAATAATTCAATCTTATTCTAGGGTTGACAAATGATGAGATAGATACACAATTTACAAAGTATGACATCAAAAGACTAGAGCTCTACTCACAGAATATGGTGCATATAATCTGTGTTTGTATTTTCACGAATAATTCAATCTTATTCTAGGGTTGACAAATGATGAGATAGAAACACAGTTTACAAAGTATGACATCAAAAGACTAGAGCTCTACTCACAGAATATGGTGCATATAATCTGTGTTTGTATTTTCACGAATAATTCAATCTTATTCTAGGGCTTACAAATGATGAGATAGATACACAGTTTACAAAGTATGACATCAAAAGACTTGAGCTCTACTCACAGAATATGGTAGACTATCACCTCATCATGGACCTCCTGCCAGCCATCAGCCGACTCTTCTTCCTTTACAAATTGGACCTCCACCTCAGTGCAGCACAGTCCGTATGTATACACTGTGCTTCTATTTCACTTGTTAGGTTAAAGGCCTTAGCAAGGATTTTTTTTTATGTCAATGTAATTACTACAAGAAATAAACTGACTCTCACATTGCAATGAATTAAACAATCTTGGATTAACTTTTTATGAAAAAAATATGAATGAAATAATTTTGGATTTACTTTTTATTAGGTCAAGGCGAAAAAAAAATTTGCTTCATTTCAATGCCTTTTAGAAAGTAAGGACCCACAATCAATGACTTTTTGTTTGATTCAAGGCCCTTTTATTAAGTCAAGACACCAGAAATGTTTTTTTTCGAGGCCTTTTTGTAAGTTCTAGGCCCATAGCAGTTAGTTTGTGTACTTCTACTATAAGCCTTTTTGGCTCACACAGTGAGCCTATGGGATTGACCAGGCGTCCGTCCGTCCGTCCGTTGGTCCGTCCGTCCGTCCGTCTGTCCGTCCGTCCGTCCGTCAACATTGGCCGCACAAATTAAAACTGCTATTCGGATTGAGTCATATCCACATTCATTTTATGCATATCCATATTGCCTATTTGACCTATCATCGCCATTTCCCAAGTTCGCCCGGTTTCCGAGAAATTGCGGATTTTGACGTCAAAAAGTCAAATTTTCTGTAAATACTAGACACTTTGTTGAAGTAGAACTTCAAATAACTTTTAGTAGTTGGTGTATATGCAACTTATGTCCTCTGAAGATTTCAAAGCTCTTGGAATTACGGTTTTTGGTGTTTACTCTCTAAAATTTGAAAAAAAGTAGGACTTAGTCATTTTCAGGAAACTTTCTCATGTATAAAGTCAATGGCAGGTTTTGTGATTGACAAGATTCTTAAAGTTTGCCTTATACTTGATCATTTCCTGCAATAAATTACATCATTAATAGATTTAACACTGCCCCCAGGATTCCGTGTTTGCAGAGCGCGGACGGAATTTGCCTCTGCCCGCGGAATTGCAGAATCAACTATTTTGGTCAATTTCCGCGGAATTTTCCGCAGAATCCATATATTTTCCCAAAAGTTTAAAAAGTCAGTCTTACCTGTAACAATTTGACACGTTTTCAGTCAAATCCCTTGCAGAAATAACCCAAATTATGCGAAGTGAAAATTCTAAACGCCATCGTTTGATTTCTGCCGTTAGATGGCAGCATGTATGTAGTGACTGACTACCTGACTATCACGATATTTTCCCGTTTACTGGTTCGAAAACCATTAATATCCGCGGAATTTCTGCAGAATTAGCCCTTTCTTCTTGCAGAATTCACTAATTTCACTTGCAGAATTGAGCATTTTAACTTGCAGAAAACTGGGGGGAGTGATTTAAGCATTCCCTACATATTTCTCAATATATGTCAGCATCAAATTTTTACCGTTTTTGAGATATTTGACGTCAAAAAACAGTAAAAATAAGTTATTTTTCAACTTGCTTCAATTTGACCAATTTTTTTTTAAAAATCATCTACAAGTTGCCAGGAGTTCAAATCTGACATTAGTTTTAAGATTTGACCTTTACTTGACCTTCAGTGACCTTCGAAAGGTCGAAAAAGTTGATTTTTTGGATGTAGATTTTGGTCAGCTTTATCACAAAAGACCTTACTGAGCTCTGAATAAGTAAAATTTTCAAGGTCAAAGGTCATCAAACTAGGTCACACAACTATGCTATCTAAGTTTGAGACTACAAATCCAAGTCAATATTTTTGTTTGAAAGTCAGGATATAAATTCCTCTGAAGGTTCCAAACTGTGTGAGCACAGGACCGTGGGTCCTTCATTGTTATGTCTAGGCCCCAGTCATAAATGTTTTTTTTTATTTGTAGGCCCTCCTGTTAGGGCTAGGCCTACAACATAAAAGTGTTGACAAACTAGAGAAAGAGCTTGATCTCCCAGCAAGCCAGCTGCTTGGTCTTTTTAACAGAACTATAAGGAAAGTTGTTCAGGTGAGAAATATTGCATTTCATTAGTTAATATGTATTTCAGGTGAGAAATATTGCATTTAATTAATTAGTATGTATTTCAGGTGAGAAATATTGTATTTAATTAATTAGTATATATTTATATTTTTTATTGGCATCACCTCAATAATGTCAGAACATTCAATAAACAAAGATATTTGTGCGATTTAACTGTATTATATAACAAGCAAAAGTTGTGACATATTGTTACAATCTCCATTTTTGTGACGGTTTGGCATCTGGCATTTGGCTCTCAGCATCTGTAACAAATGGCAGGTGGTGGCTTTTGTATGTTAACTCATTGTTTATCTTTTAAAAGAACCGCATGAACTCAAAATAATGGCTCTGATATTTTGGGTCTTTTAGCAATGATCAGAAAAAATCATTGGTCATAATCCTTAAACCTCAGTCACATCTGCTCTATGATGGGCGTATGGGGGCCATAGCCTCAAAAAACAATATAGAAAATCTACATTGTACTGTTTATCCTTATATTTTTTGCTGCATATTTCTCTTGATTTTGGGAAGCCATGTGCAGCTGCCAACTTGCCATAGTTCATATGTGACTGAGGCATAAGCTTGGCATACAGCTAACCTATTGAGTCTATGATGTTTCTAGAACCTAAAGGGCATGCAGGAGAAAGCGATCGAACAGGAACTAGTAGAAGGAAAAGAGATCACCATGGAGCCAGTCAAACAAACTATGGAGGAAGAGTTGGTAAGTTGATTTGCATTCATTTGATTTGATTGATATTCCAGGGCACAGTAAAACAAAGTACATGTTAAGTGGAACACCTATAAGTTGAACACCATTGTAACTGTAGGTGGAACACTTTTCATGACCAGTCTCATGACCAATTCAGTGGCGTAGGAACAATGTACGCCAAAACGCCAGTGCGTAGTGTTGAAAAGTGAGAATAAAAATGACTTTTTAACTTTTTAACAGATTGAATTCCCTTACCAATATGCTTTATTTCATGAAAATCGAGCCACTACTGACTGTCTTATAAATACAACTTCGCCAAATATTCGTGAATCGCGTTCTCTTCACGAATTTGAGAGGAAAACTGTTTTTTTCAAAAACTACTTGATGAATACCTTTGACATTTTTTTCTGCATTTTCCGTAATACTTATGCTCATTATGGTATCATATAAATATAATGATGAACCTCTTTAAAAGATGTATATTTTTTTTATTCTCCCCTACCCCAATTTTTCAATTTCACTCGATTTATATTCCGTTGCTATGCAAAATCATAGACACGAAATTATAGTTAAGTCAACAATTATCTATTTTCTTACTAAATCACTAATTGTTATTGGTAGTACTTTTTGAAATATGGATGTTAAAGACAAAAACAACTTGAAAATGCTGTATATTCAATTACACGTTCCATTGATTTCAGTTCTAGAAAAGCGATAACCTAGTTTTTTTCATTTGAAAAATAATGGATTCTTGTTTTAAAACATTTTTTGGCATCCCCTAAGTCACGTTGACCTCGATTTGACCTTTGTGGTGGGTGTGTTTATTTGTTTCATTGATCACGAATGCGTTTCTTTATATCAATTGATCAAACTAGTTTCTTTAATCTGTACGTATTGTATTGCACGGTACACGATGGAATCCGACAATACTATATATCTTAATTCAATTATTCGAAAATGATCAAAAAATCTCTAATTGTTTTTTGGAAATTGGTCGTCTCAATCGTTCGAGACATTAGCAAAGTGAGAATGATTTGTGTCGAGATTTAAAAGATAGGCTTTCCAAGGTGATTTTAAATGATGAAAATCATTCGAACATTTTAAAGCACATTAAAAAGGTATCGGGGATTTAAAGCTTGCATATGAAATCGAAACGCCAACCTATACGTATGACCAATCGCCCATACAAATGCATCGCTTAAGTATTTCCGTTCACATTTAGGTTGTGAATATAGCAAGCTTAAAATCTCTGTTACCATAAAATGACGTTTTATGAGCATAATATAGGCGTTTTGATATAGAATATTGACATAATTGTTTCTTTTTTTTGCGGGATTTTTGGCGTAGTGTTGAATTTACACCTTCCTACGCCCCTGCAATTTAATACTTCATATTAAATTAACCTTTTTAAAACTCCAAAATCACTTGCCGTACTAAATGTGGTCTTTTGTATTTTGTTTATTTTGAGTTTAATCTATAGAAATAATTATACAAATAGATGAATACATAAAACATATTTATTTACAATTATTTAAACTCATTATCTACAAGAATTTTTTTTATATTTATTTTATTTATGTACACAGATCACTTATATAAGGTACAAATACATGTAGGCTATGTCCTACACAAATGTGAATCCCATAGATATGTAAAAAAAGAATTGTGTATAATGTCGGTGCATATAGCCAGATGATCGAAGAAATATAGAACTACGAATGGATTATTATAGATATATATAATTCTATTGAGGTGAATACTCGAAGGTATATATAATTATGTTATACTGGACTAAGTCAAGACTGATGAATATGATTTAAACAAAAGTCACGTGACTTCCGTTTAATGTCCTTATTATTAAGTCACAGTGTGAGGAATAAGACATTGATATATTATAAAGAACAAGTCTCAATTTGGAGAACAGTCTCCCAAGCTAATAATTTTTTTATGAAGAATCTAGAAATATCACTCAAATTAAATTATGACTATTCAAAAGAAGACATTCAAATCTATATTATGTAAAAAAATGAAAATTTTCTGAGGCAGGGGTAACGCTCAATTAGAGAGATGAACTTCGTTCTATAAACCGAGAATAGTCCTTTATATAATTTAACCTGACAACTGCACCTCACAGACTACTTAGTTGGATGAAGGGTAGTAGTAGTTGCAAATACTGTACGATATATACATTTATATGCTTTCTATACTATGTAAGACAGTGTGACTAATATGTATAATTCAATAAAATACAAGTCTCGATTTAGAGAAGAAGAGTGTACTGAGCTATAATTTTTTCATGAAAAATCTAGAAATATCACCTTAATTAAATCATGACTATTCAAAAAAAGACATTCAAATCTATATTATGTAAAAAATCAAAAAATCTTAACCTGACGACTGCACCTCACAGACTACTTAGTTGGACGAAGGGTTGCAATAGTTGCAAATACTGTACGCTATATACATGTATATGCTGTCTATACTATGTAAGACAGCGTGTAATATGGATAGATCATAATCATGACTATTCAAAAGAAAACATTCAAATCTATATTATATAAAAAAATAAAAATTTTCTGAGGCAGGGTTAACGTTCAATTAGAGAGATGAACTTTGTTCAATAAACCAAGAATAGTCCTTTATATAATTTAACCTGACGACTGCACATCACAGACTACTTAGTTGGATGAAGGGTTACAATAGTTGCACATACTGTACGATATATACATTTATATGCTGTCTATACTATGTAAGACAGTATATAATATGTGTGAAACAAGGCCTTTAACATTTTTTATTTATTCTGTTATTGCTCTTCACTCTCACGTATCTGTTCTTCTACATTTTATAAGTATACCATGTCCTGTTTCTGGTTGCGGGTTATTACAACGTACACTATTATGTGTTGCATCACTGCATTCACATGCAGCTTTTGCTTTTTGTCTTGCTGTCTCCATGTTTGAGTTTTCATTAAAGTATAACCCTGAATCTTCCCCAGCATGTATGGTTTCAGAGGGTACTTTGAATACTGCATAGTCTTTGATATGTTGATAGTTTTTCAGTACATCTGTCAAGTAAGCTAAACATTCAGTTCCAATGGCTAGAGCTCCAAAAATAGTTTCATCTTCAGCACTTTGAAATCCTGATGTTATGATGTCCCCACTTCCCTTGTATTCCAGGCACACTGTCCCATTTTTGGTCACATCCTCTCTGTTACCCAATAGCTTGCCTTTTTATGTCCCCACCACATAGTGTGGGGCCATATTGTCGGCCTAGGCGCGTCTGTCTGTCCGTCTGTCCGTCTGTCTGTCCGTCTGTCTGTCCGTACGTCCGGCAGTTTTCTCCAAAACCGCTACAGATATCACCTTCAAATTTTCAGGGATAACTTATGAGTGCATACAGATGTGGATGAAAAAAAATTAACTCGATACCTACTTCCTGTCGGCCATTTTGAAGTCAAATGCTAAAATCCTTGTCTGCAAACTTTAAGAAAAACTGCTTCACAGTTGCTTTTAAAACTTTAACATCTTGTTCAGCTCACTTCATTCTAGATCTGATTAGGTTTTGGACCTGCTAGCTCAGTCATGTCAGCCATTTTGAATGTCTTAAGAAAAGTTAGCGCGCGATAATACTTTGTATCATATTGAATGGTGTTTTTGAGTTTTCATACTTTAACTATTTAGTAGCTTTATAAATAATTTCAGATGTACTTTGCTGTAAAAGCCTACTTTATTGTTAACAGTAGTTATATGTGATAATTTTGTAAAAAGAAATCAGCAAAAACTCATAAGGACTTTTTTATTGTCGGCCATTTTGGATTTTTCGGTCCTAAAATCTTGTCTGTGAAGTCTTGTCTGCGCGTTTTCAGGTGAACCGTTTGGTGGATCAATTTCAAATTTTCAGGGATGATTCTTAGTATAAAAATCTAGATCTCATTAGTTTTTTGGCATTCTGGGTAAATGTCAAGGCAGCCATTTTGGATTTTCCGTCCTAAAATCTTGTCTGTTAAGTCTTGTCTACTCGTTTTCAGGTGAACTGTTTCGTAGATCAATTTTAAATTTTCAGGAATGATTCTTAGTATGAAAATCTAGAACTGATTAGTTTTTTTGCATTCTGGGTAAATGTCAAGGCAGCCATTTTGGATTTTCCGTCTTAAAATCTTGCCTGTATAGTCTTGTCTACGCGTTTTTAGGAGAACGGTTTGATAGATCAATTTCAAATTTTCAGGGATGATTCTTTGTATGAAAATCTACATCTGATTACTTTTTTTGCATTTTGCGTAAATGTTAAGGCAGCCATTTTGGATTTTCTGTCCTAAAATCTTGTCTGTAAAGTCTTGTCTACCCGTTTTCAGGTGAACCGTTTGGTAGATCAATTTCATATTTTCAGGGATGATTCTTAGTATGAAAATCTACAAACAGATTAGTTTTTTGACATTCTTGGTAAATGTCAAGGCAGCCATTTTGGATTTTCCATCCTGAAATCTTGTCTGTAAAGTCTTGTTTACATGTTTTCTGGTTAACTGTGTGACGGATCAATTTCAAATTTTCAGGGGTGGTTCTTAGTATGAAAATCTAGAACTGACTAAATTTTTGGCATTCTGGGTAAATTTTAAGGTGGCCACTTTGGATTTTCCGTCCTCAAATTGTGTTGGTAAAGTCTTGTCTACTCATTTTCAGGATAACCATTTCACGGGATCACCACTTGGTGGGGACATTTTGTACACATTTGTGTTCTTGTGTTTCAATGTGGTCACCTCCATAGCTTGATACTATGACCCTTGATTCATCTGGGTACAATGTTCCTCCATTTATACCCTGGCTCCAAACCTCCACCCTGACTTTGATATACCATGCCCAATATTTGGTCGGAGCATTTGGAAACCAAACAAGTGGCCATAATTTTGATAATTTAGTATCTTGACATTCAAAGATTGTGGTACAAGCTGTATACTCAATAAATGTGTTGGTTGGTCTGTAGAATCTATAATGTGATCGTGAGTTATTCTTGTCAATAGCCATACAATTAATATAAGCCTGTGTATATGGATATTGACAGGCCGTTCGGTCACATTTCATGCATTCTGGTTCCTTCTGGACAAGGTTAGAGCAATACATACAGAAGTCAGAGTCTTCCTTTAAACATCTTTGTTCCTGGCTGGCATACAAGGGGCCTGATTTTGTCAATGGGCTAACTGTTGTGTTCAATACTGTGTATTGATCAGCCCCTGGTCGAACCTCTGCCCATTTGTTTGTCACATTTGGGACTGATGGCCCCCCAAGTGTAGTTGAGCCATGAAGTGGCCCTTCAATTGTGTCATATGTCAAGTATCCCTGGAAATGGTCAGGCTCACACATGGTTAATACACAGTCTCCATCAGAACCAATATCAGGTAAATTCACATGCACATAACTTTGTTTGCCCGTTATGTGCTGCCATCTGTTTTCCCTGTCTCTCGCAATTACAGTTGGCTCATTGGTAGAAGCTGGTGGTATTTGTGTGGTCATCTTTTTATCATCATATGCTTTAATGTTAAGGAAACAGTAGTCCTCATTCAGTCTGTCAAAGTTAAACCAATATCTTCCCACGATCTTGGCGTCCCCTATGAAAAAGTCACTCTCAAATTGTGATTGACTTCGCTTCTTTCTTTTTGAGAATCCTTTTCTGAGTGACCCTTCCAGCTCCCATCTCCCTGATGATGGATTCATAGACCAAAGCTTAACATCAGTGGTTGCATTTGGTCCTATACGGTCAGCGCTTATGGCCATTTCCACATCACCTTCAATGTTAACTTCATTTCCGTCAGCATCTTCAAAGCTCATATGAAACATACCAAAGGTTTGTAGGTTTGCTGTCTGTCCATTGCTATCCATGAATGTCAGATCTCCAGGCATTGTGTCTACACTGTCAATGTCTCTTGGATCAAGGAAGTTGACACTTGCCTGAACTTGACCATTATATTGTGTCCCATTTTTGTTATAAAATGCTCCATCAGGGATTATAACTTCTGCCAGGGATGCATTTGAGCTGGTGTTTGCCAGGGTTAATGTATTGATATCAGAAGAAGATATTTCAACAATTGTATTCTTCCTAAGGATAGGGATATCTCTATAGAGAGTTCCTGTTAAATCATTTGGGATGTAAATTATTTTGTTAGTTTCAATGAAATTTTGCTTTTGAAGGCCCTCTTTGATTGTGATAACAAGCCTTGAAGCATCCTTTGGCACAAGGAATGTAAACTCACCAGTAGAGCTTGTTTTGGTTACAAATTCATCAAAGAGAAAAATCTCACCAAATTTCAGAGGTATACCTTTGTCTAGTACATCATGCACATAGCCACTTAAATATACCTCTGGATCAGATATCAGAACATTCCCAATTACCTCAACTTGGTTACATATCTTACAACCACACTCTATAGTTTCTGCAATGTCAATGGTGTAAGAACTACATGTCAATGTCCTTAGTTCTTGTTTGATTGGTCCACAGCAATATTCTTCCTTGTTTGTAACAGTTTGCTTTATACATGCGTTACCACGACATTTCTTAACATCATAGTGGTAGGGTGTTTCTCCATTTTGTGGACAGTTCTTCGGAAGTGGTTTGAGATGTGATATCGGAACAGGATCACAAAAACTGTCGCCATCGTCTAAAATAAAATAGAATGTATATTGTACCATGTGTGTAAATAAGTCAGGTTTTTTATATTTTATTTATTCACATAAAATAATGATAGTGTGTACACTAAAGTGAGGGATTCTTGCAGGAAAGTCACAATATTTAAATCCTTAACTGTGAATACTGTATTTATATATGGAAAATTAAAATCACATTTGATCCCTACCTTTGACAAGGAGTATAGCAGGATTAGAGTAGGCAACACTAAAGTCAGACTGTGCTAGACACATGTAGGAAGCACTGTCATTGGTTGTCACAGCTTGTATGATCAGTGTGTTTGTGTTTCCAGTTGATGTCATTTCTTTACCATTTTTGTACCTGTGTTGAACAAATATGATTGTTGTTCATAAATAGATGGCGTTCTTTTATTATTTGTTTTGTGGACATTAACATTGCTAGTGTAGACTGTTATTACTGTCTTACTGTTTGCTTTATGAATTTTAAAGTATACAACATTTTGATATCTCATTGTTATTCCTTCGAAAACAAGGTATGAAATAGAAATATGGACATCATCCATCAGCTTACAAAAAACAATGCAAAGGGAGAGAAGAATGTAATGACTTATAAAGAACTGGTCAATTTATGTATATATGGACCTACCATGTGTATGTATCTGGGGGTGGTTTGCCAATAGCTTTACATGTAAAGTTAACATCGTCCCCAACAAGGGCAACTTTACTCAAAGGATGGTGTGTTACTTCTATTCCCTCTAAAATACAGAATCAGAAGTTTTAAAATGCATAAATAAGGCTTAAATAATATTTGAATCACACACAGTAAGATTCTTTGTCTTATGGCAAACTTACAAATTGGAATTGTTTATTTTGGCTTTAAAGAGAGAATCAGATCGAGCAAGCAGTTAACAAAAAATTCTTTAAATTTTCAAATATTTCTGGCTTATGTCACATCTAAGAAAACATGAGTGATAAAAATATGATTTCAAAACAAATTGAATATAATGGCCACTAATTCAAAAAGATTTGTAAAGCATGTTTGTCTTAGGTTATGAATTCAAGTTCAGTATGACCGAAAAATGTGATAAAAATATGTGTATAAAGGATCATTAAAGAAGTAAAAGGCTCACTTCCATTCAAAAGTTAACAGTAGATTAAATAGTGTTTTGTTTGGTGTCCCTTGAAATCGGTCTAGCTAGTTTTCTTAATGTCAACGTATTCAACTAAATTGTTAACAATTTGGACAAGGAAGTTAAAATAGCAGAATCTAGACATTTCATTGGATCATCTTGATTTTATTTAACTTAACATATCAGGTAGAGCAATTTAAAGGTGATATTACATATTAACACTTTTGGCGAAGTAACAAGTTTAAGGCCATTTCAAAGTCAAATTAACTGCAAGTTAAAAGCATCCTATCAATCCCAAACTTAAAATATGTTCCAACGTGTGATCACAAACAAAAGGAGAGATTTAAAATATGTAAAGAAAGGGATATCAAATTAAAAAATAGTTTTGTTGCAGTACTTATACATTTTTTATTTTATATTACGTGCAAAAGTCAATGTTTTTGCTATAAATCGGGCAACAATGGTCTACACGACCTGTAATAAATAGGTATAAGGGACGTTATTATCACAATACTAATGACATTGCTCACTTTTTTTAAAGTTAGTTTTAATGCGTTATACAAAAAATAATTGAAATAAATTAATATTGGATGGAGGGGGGAGTGGATGGAGGGGGGGGGGGGTTTATATGTATTTATGATGGAACAAATTCACAAGAACTCGTGTATTTGAAAAAACTAAACTCAGTACCCCAGTGAGAAACTGGATATTATATCTCTGGAGAATGAAAAATGGAAAAATTTGGAGTCAAAAGAATAAATTCAAGTAGCATGTCTTATCATGTCTTATATACATGTTATCCCCCCTCCATCCAATCCCCCCTCCATCCAATATTAATTTATTTCGATTATTTTTTGTATAACACATGAAAACTAACTTTAAAAAGTGAGCAATGTCATTAGTATTGTGATAATAATGTCCCTTATACCTATTTATTACAGGTTGTGTAGACCATTGTTGCCCGATTTATAGCAAAAACATTGACTTTTGCACGTTGGTGATGATGCGCCTTTTTAAATAGATCTCATATCTTAGAAGGGCATCAGTTCAAAAAATACTTAGATGACCTAACATATTTTGCCATGCACTGCGCCTATTCATTTGACAATTCAGTTGTAAATTTTCTCTTGAAAAAATAAAGGTCATTTCCAATGTGACAAGAAATCTCGTCACTCTGGGGAGTCAAGAGGTTAAAATGAATGCCTTAATTAGGCGATTATTTATGATGCCCCTGTGTATCAATTACTTTTAATTACCCAAAGTTTGCATGATGACACTTTCCCCATACTACAATAATGTAAGTACTTACCTAATGCTTGCATTATGATCTCAAAGGATGTTTCATCATTAACTCCTATAGAAGTGACATTGGTCATATATTTCTCTTTCTCGCTCACAAGCACAGTATTATCACAAAGTCCTTGCAGTTCGAGAGCCCCGGATGCATTTGTTAACCCAAGTGTCTCATACTCTAGGTCTTTTAAGGCTACCCTAACCCCAGCTAGAGGGACACGTTTTGTATTGTACACAGTGATATGTCTTGTTGTCATGGGACATTCGCATGCTGTGCAATTCTGATTTCGTTGTTGGCCTACTCGACAAACCATACTACAGTCTGAAAAGGCATTTTTGTTATTTATCTGAAATAGTTTTAATGTACAAAACTCAGTCACATGCATTTTAATCATGGAAATTTACTTAAATGGTGTAATCTTATGAATTTCATGAATAACATAAAAAAAGATAATTGTTATGAAAAATTACCTGGACATCTGCCCTTGTTGCATGCTCTAGTGACCTCCTCTGAACCATTACAGTCAACATCAGTTGGAGAAGATTTTTGACAAACACGTGATCTTTTCTGTATCCCATCTCCACATGTCACACTGCATTGCACCCATGCAGACCAACTGCTCCAAAGACCATAAACAACTGCAAAAAAATGTATGTCTCAGGACATTTCTTTTGTTGAATGTATTATTTAACAATTTAAGGCCTCGAGTGCAATGTGGGTTGAATCATTTCACGAAAAGATATTATTTTAACCTTTGCACAAGATGTGCTGCATCGAGTGTGAAGTTTAGGAAACAACGCCCAAGTGGAATGAATCATCCACAATGCATCAGGTCTTGGGCTTAAATTCGTTTTACATAATAACATCTCCGGAAAGATACAAAATTAGTAAAACAACATATTTATAATGAAACTTCTTGTAAGGGTAAAGTTAGCAAATCATCATTATTAATATGTAGAGTCAAGTTGTCACCTCGACAACCATTTAGCAAATGACCTTGGGTGAGTTATTGGTTATATAATCAGTGGTTTCAGTAACTTTCTGCACAAGGGGCAGATGAAAAAAACAAGAGGCGCCATTCAAAACAACCAATTTTACACTCCCGGAAATGCAAATTCTTGTCCATTGACAGAAAGTGGACAGATGAACAAGGGCATGGAAGGCTTTGCCAAAAATGATATAAAATTCTGATGTGCATTATATTTAAAAGACAATGTATCTGAAATACAAAACAGTCAATCAAAGTTTTGAACTTTTAATCCTATTAAGAGGTGATTTAAAAGATGTCCAGGATTTTACTTTTTGCAGGTTTGTCAAAGTCATTTCCCCATGTGATATTGGCTCAATTGGATTTACCACAAGACATGGGCTACACAAATGACACCTTGAACTGTGGTGACTATGGCAACTTATATAGAATGTCATTTACCTTTTATGAGATAACTGAGCGTTACATAGGGTGCAGTTTACAAATTCAAATGCATCTGCTGAATTGGACACTTTTAATATAGAATGCATCCTGTGTACAATTTATAATTTACATCCAAGGTTTAAGGTATCTGCTAACCTTACAGTCTCCATGTAGAATTTGAAAACACATTTTTTTCATATATATATTTACTATTTTTTCAAATATTTACTAATAATCATGACTTAAAAATTAGTTTAAGAGATTTTTGAAAAAACGTTTTTGAAATGAAAGTTGTCAGCTTTTCAATTTTTAAATTCCAAATTTCCCGCAATTTTTCAAATAAAGTTGAACTTTTTAATCATCAAATATTTCACTGTACAGTGCAATAAAATATTATTTTTTAACAACAATGTAAAGATTGAACAAAGGACACACTATTTCAATAATAAAATGTCATATCTGATGTGCCAATTCAATGTTTTAGCACATCGAAAATATTTTGCAACCTAAGTGACCTCATCGTGACATCATTTAGGTGGCAACATTTCTCCTTGTCTATCTTTTTCTATGCTAAACTAAAAAGATAAACCAATGTTGACTGTCTAACCAGGTTAAAAGGATGAATATATTATGTTTTTAATATTATTACCATTGGTTTCTGTGAGAACTAAAATTTCGAAATGCATTTGCCCTGAACCACTTTCATCCATGAATGAGTTTAATGCTCGCTTATTTATCAACCAATTTTCTTAATTTTGTCGGCAATAAACAAGTGAGGATGAATGATATGCATCAATGTGAATTATGTGTTACTGTAACCTCTCAAAGGTACTTTCTAATAAATTCTTGATATTTTGAACAAACGGTCCTTCAAAAAAATAATTCTGAAATTAATAAAAAGTTTCACATTTCACACTTTGATAATATTGGATAAGCCAAAGTTAATATTTGACCTTTATCTGATTAATACAGTTTTGCACCCATTGGAAAGACTGTACTGTGACTGGTTGAACAGAGTTGTATCAATTATACATTTATCTGCATGTCCCATGGAAAATAAGGTACAAATCATAAACAAGGAAGTGCAAAATAAGATCCTAAATTAAATGAAGGATAGTCTATAGAACACTTAATTTTCCCCAAACTTAGACACTATTTGGCTTCTGACAAACGGCGAATTATCGAAAACAAACGGCGATTTTAGGCACTCGCCCCCTGCTATTGAAAGCCCAGATAATGCAGTGTATTTAAATGAAATAATATGTTCAGATTGGCTAGAATCGGACACACCTTGCCTAATTCAAAAATTAATTATAATATATATTATTTATTCACCTATTTTTGCTTCTCTTCCATCAATTATTTCAGAGGATGTTGTAGGCATTGGAGTTGTTGTGGTTGCCACAGATGATGAACTTGTCACTGGAGTTGTGGATGCCACAGTTGATGAGGTTGTCACAGGAGTTGATGTAGTTGTCACAGGAGTTGTTGTGGTTGCCACAGATGATGAACTTGTCACTGGAGTTGTGGATGCCACAGTTGATGAGGTTGTCACAGGAGTTGATGTAGTTGTCACAGGAGTTGTTGTGGTTGCCACAGATGATGAACTTGTCACTGGAGTTGTGGATGCCACAGTTGATGAGGTTGTCACAGGAGTTGATGTAGTTGTCACAGGAGTTGTTGTGGTTGCCACAGATGATGAACTTGTCACTGGAGTTGTGGATGCCACAGTTGATGAGGTTGTCACAGGAGTTGATGTAGTTGTCACAGGAGTTGTGGCTGCCACAGATGATGAACTTGTCACAGGAGTTGTGGATGCCACAGTTGATGAGGTTGTCACAGGAGTTGATGTAGTTGTCACAGGAGTTGTTGTGGTTGCCACAGATGATGAACTTGTCACAGGAGTTGTGGATGCCACAGCTGATGAGGTTGTCACAGGAGTTGATGTAGTTGTCACATGAGTTGTTGTCTCGGTAAGAGTTGTCACAGGAGTTGTAGGGGTTGTCATTGTTGTTGTGGTAGGAGTTGTGGCTGTCATAGTTGATGAGGTTGTCACAGGCATTGTGGGGGTTGTCACAGGAGTTGTTGGGGTTTTTTCAGTTGGGGTTGTCACAGGTGTTGGGGTGGTTGTCACAATTGTTGCAGTTGTTACAGTAGTTGGCAAACTAGAGGCAGATATTGGTGTCATTTGTGTGTCCATGATAGAAGAGCACTTTGGCAGCCATGCTTTAGTACAACATTCTTTGGTGAGAGCATATTCCCCAACTCTCAATTTTTCATTTTCACAATGAATGTATCTGCAACCCACTATCTTTGTTTCTTGACCATCACATTCAGGTTTTTGTATGGATGTCAGGGTAGTGGTTGGAGATACAGGAGTTTTGGTTGTCGCAGGAGGTGTTGTGGTTGTCACAGGAGTTTTTGTGGTAATCATAGGAGTGTCTGAAATTATCCAATATCATCTAAATTACAGTTTAGCAAATTGAAGATTAAATGACCAAAATTGGCTTTGTATTGATGCTGGGACACTAAATATTAAATTCCCAAATGCATGTACCTGTAAACAACCCTGCAAAGTACATCCCTACCACTGCCGCTCCAATAGCAATTACTACACATATTACCACAATTGCTATGATCTTGGCCAATTTTGCAAACCTTGAGGGGACTTCATTCTCTGCAACCTTTGGGGGATCTTCTATCTCTGCATAAATTGGTTCTGATATGCAACCATCATACCTGAAATATCAAAGAGTAATTAATGTTTGAAAATGCTCTCTCCGTTGGATTGTTTCAGAAATTGTCAATCTATTTTGAATGTTTGTCAGTCAAAATATTTCTCATTGATAACTGTATGTTGATCTGGCTTTTATGACAACAGAAAGGGAATTTAGAGAATCTAAAAATGGTTAAAAGTTGAAGGAAAAAATCTAAAAACGATTCTGTTGAAAGGTGAACAGCTTAGATCTACCTAGTTTGCACCTATAATGGAATTATAGAAATTATTGTCAAATAAGAAGTTTTATTTTACTGAATTATACTTTACTAAGTGATTAAATGGTCAAAGAATATTCTCATATGACTCAATATTTGAAATCAGAAATAGTTTTTGCTACTGGGAATTAGGAGATTTTAGATCCTTCATTTACCAAGGGCTGCATAAGGGCTAGATAACATGTTCCATGATGTCATGAAATTGTATTTATACGATTCGGAAATATGGTGTAATGATATATATACAAGCGTGACCGCCTAACTAATCGAGATATTGAACAGAAATACGAAAGTGCTCTAATTGAAAACAATCATATTCGGTTCCAAAAATATGTTCTAGGGGTTCATAGAAAAGCCTTAAACATGGCAGTAAGAGGACGATTGGGAAGAATACCTTTGGTAGTTGATATTATAAAAAGACAAATTAAATACCTCGGTCATCTAGAGTTGAGTTCAAATGGGAGTTTACTAAAAGATTCATTAATTATGAGTAAAACATTTGATTTAACAAATAACACATTTACATGGCACAAACAACTCAAAAGTATACTGTACCATATTAAAATAAAAATGTCTGATGAATTAAATCTTGAAGATAAGGAAAACATAGAGAAGAGCACAAATAGGCTTGCTATTAAAGTCTAAAATAAATTAATAGAGAGATATCAAGTATATTGGAAGAATCTGATAAGTGAGAATGGGGGGAAACTTAGATTATTTAAACAACGAAAATCGCACTTCGGATTTGAACACTACCTCTCAGAAACGACACTTTCAAACGCTAAACATTTAACAAGATTACGAATAAGCACCCACAATCTAGAGATAGAGAGAGGCCGATATACAAAACCCATTACTGATCTTAATAGTCGATTTTGAAAATTATGTAAGGACTCGGTTATAGAAGATGAAACACACTTTTTATTCAAATGTAAACAATTGGAGTATATCAGAAAATCCCATATTGAAAAACTTGAAAACCTGTGTTGTAATTTTGAAAATAAGAATGACCACCAAAAGACAATTTTTCTATTGACGAGTGAAGGATCATATTAAAAGAAACTGGTAACATGATAAATTATCTAATGATTGGTAGAGACAGGATTCTTATATCAAAGTAACATTTTATATGTCATTTGAAGAATGTGATCCTATTTTCTTTACTTATTGCTATATTTACTGTTATTGAAAATTGTATATTGGATGTACGTTTGGCCCTAAAAGGGCATCAGTACTAATGAAATCCTATTATAGACTAATATATTGATGTCATCCTGACATAAGTAATATGTTAGATGTGAAGATGTACGGCACAAGGCTGAGACAATTCCATCATCAGTATCCATTGGAAATAGAATTGTTTCTGAGTTATCATAAATTATTTTCTGCTGAAGTTCCATCTTCCTATCTTTAGTCCATCCTTGTAGCTCAGTGATAGCTTGTATACCAATCACGCAGGGTTCCAGACACGACCCCTGGTTCAGGCAAGACCAAATTTGCTTGTTTGCGTACTTCAAGGTGTTTGACTGAGTAGTCCATAACTTCTTCAAAAGGCCATGGTGTGTACCTTTTTGTATGTCTATGTGTGAGTGTACATAAAAGAGATGAGGGCTCTTTTAAGGAAGGGATTTCTGGGTCTGTCTCCCAGGATTAGTTATAAGTTATATACCCTAGATTTATTCCTCACCTTCATTGGTTGTAAACAAAAATGAGGGTTCCTTCAAGGAGGTGTTTTCTGCGTCTGGCTTCCAGGATCAGTTATGTAAACAACAACCGTACATATATGGGATATCCTAGATGTATTGGTCACCTTCATTGGTGGTAAACAAAAATACAATATAGTAACAATGTCTTACTTCGATGTTGGAGTCAGATATTGTTTAGGTCTATTCAGACCAGTAAGACCTGTGTAGAAATGTTCTCTTCTAGGTCCAGTAAGACCAGCATAGGCAGATTCCCTTGTAGAGTATGGAGTTAATGGTACTGCATAAATGTTCCTTCCTCTATTAGAAGACATGCTGCAGAGTTGATAATGTGTTGATTTTGTGTTGTATTGTATTGTATTTAATTTTTAGTGCCCTGGGCTACATCCTAGACTATTTACGGTCTATAAAGCACAATGAAATAAATACTCAGTATATCACATTCACTAAGTTAAAATGATCTTGACATAATGTCACTTAAAACTTGGTAAGTCAGTTATGGATAATAAAACGCTTAATGTCATTTTATGCTGAGGAATCAATTTAAATTGATACTCAATATGCATACCATCAAAAATAGTGTTTTTCTCATAAAATTTAAGTGAAGTTGAACATTATACATATCATAAGTTGAAGAAAGTGAACTTTATGTTATATAAATATAACTATTGTTTCCCATAAGATAACATTAACATTCATGCATTTAAACTTTTATGAGAGTTTTCTATAATTTTTCTTAATATTAAATAATTTTTATGTATATTTACCTGAATTTTTACTTTAATTGAGCAATCATAGCCTTCAGTATACACCGATTGTAAAAATGATTAAAACAACTTATGAAATAAAGTATAAAGTATAAACCAGGAAGTTTTTTAGAAATAATTCACCTGTTTACTGGAATTCCCGTGTTATAGTTTGCAGACACAACAGCTTACATTTTTGCCATTCTCTGGTAAAATATTTTTATTAGGAGACCCCAACAGGGGGCTTCCTATCAATTTCATAGATATTATTAATCTTTATTTATTTATTTATTTTTTTATTCTTCCCCACACTCTTTCTCATACTTGCTACTAGGTTTCAAATAGCTAGTACATACTCCTACTAGGGACCTAGGCTGAACTTGACGAGAAAGGAATTTTTATCTAGGTCACATACTTCACATATGAAATACTAAGTATGTAAGTCAGACCTGTATATCCAAACACCATTCTATTCACTTTTTCTCTCATAGAATCATATACTTCAAAAACTTAAAATGTGAACACTTGCTAATTCAAACACTTGACTGGTCCGAGAAGCTTTCAGATTAAGCAGGTTTTATAAAACACCTGACTGGTTCAAGAAGCTTTCAGATTAAGCAGGTTTTATTGAAACACTTGACTGGTCCAAGAAGCTTTCAGATTAAGCAGGTTTTATAAAACACCTGACTGGTTCAAGAAGCTTTCAGATTAAGCAGGTTTTATTGAAACACTTGACTGGGCCAAGAAGCTTTGAGATTAAGCAGGTTTTATTCAAATACTTGACTGGTCCAAGAAGCTTTCAGATTAAGCAGGTTTTATTGAAAATCATATATGTTGTTGTCTTTGTTTTTAGACTGAAGCTGCAAATGAAGTCCTTGATAAACAGAAGAAAGATTTAGCAGTATTGGGAGACATGGACCTTAGTCAGTATGCCATAAAGGGATCAGAGCATGAGTGGGACGATGCTTTGGCAGGTGGCAGTGTGAAAGGAACAGTTAGCATGAAAAGGTATTTAGTCTGATATGAATATGAATGTATAATGTAGATTACATTACGATACTCGCATCCCCTTTGTCTCAAACTTTCCCAAGCAAGTGGCAGATATGGGGGGATTTAGTAAACATTCAAATGGAAAAATAATGTGTTAGAATTACAGTATTTGGATTGTTATTTAAGAAGTAGTGTTCACATGGACGTGACATTTTCATTGCCAACATAGATGGACATGTTACAACTTTTATTTTGGCACTTTCAGATACAATGGCGATGAATATATGTTACCATAGAAACAGATTATTTTTCTGTGTCTGTTAGAGCTACCCAACATTTGGTTCTGTAACGATTGTCACACTTTTGTAGTTATGTGTAATAAATAACTTGGTGGTGACACCTTTGGCATTAATGGCTTGTTTAGTATTTTTATGTCACCACCAAAAAGTGGTGACATATTGTTATATTCTCCGTTTTCTGTGACTGCGGTTGGCGATCGGTGTCTGTAACAAGTTCTTACAACTTCCAATAACTTCACAAATTCTGTTTAAACTGATAATTTGTTCAGGCATTCAAATCTGACTTAATATTTGATTTGACCTTCAATGACCCTTTCAAGCTCAAAAAGGTATTTTCGACTTGCTTCAAATTGACCAATTTTTTCAAAATCATCTACAAGTTCTCAAAAGTTCAAATCTGACAATAGATTTGACCTTCAATGACATTCTCAAGGTCAAAAAGAGGTTAAAGGGTGTTTTTTCATCTTGCTTCACATTGATCAATTTTTTTCAAAATCATCTACAAGTTCGACTTAAGATTGAACTCATAATATTGTGAGCAAATAGGTGGTGACATTTTGTCATGTTTATGCCTTGTTATATTATTGTTATATTGTTTATTTTTTGGTAATATTGTTTATTCTTTTGGTAATTTAATTTTGTCAAATACAGCACCAACCTTCCTGGTGTACAAGGGTTTTGACATTTGATTTGTCAGAATCAAGCCATAGACTTTTCATTTATATTATTATGAGGCAAAATCACCATTCACTTTTGTTTTTGAGGCCAAAATGCTCCCCCATATGTTTCAAAGGAATTGACCTCCAACCTCATCAGAAATCAACTTTATATAGAAAATCCAATATTCCAGTAATCAGTATGACTCAAATGAATTCATTTCATCATATTTCTTTTAATGGATCATATTGTAGGCGTACTTGCATTAAGTTCATTGTTATTCCAATAAAATTCACAGGCTGGTATAGAAAAATGTGTCCGCTTTGACGGAGCGTGCTATTTTGCATAGAAACACTAGGAAATCCACACAATTTATTTTTTTACTCATATGTTTCGCTATATCAAAGAAAATTACCTTCTCCATGCAATGGATATATCACTTGCGGGTAACTTTAACTTCTGCTTGAAGTCCAACAACGCTAAGAGTAAAAGCTATTGAAAACAGCGCCGAAGTATCATACTCCAAAATGTGCCATTTCTTTTATTTCTTTTTAATGGTGCAATATAGTGACACGATAATATTTACATATGTTTTCAGCATAACTCTGAAGGTATTAATGAGATATTGATGTATTGGGTATTTTCAACTTTTTTTGTAAAAAATAATGTTTAATTTTTTTGTCTGTTGTGACAGAGCAGTTTCTAATCTGAAATGCATTAAGAATTTAAGATTTATAATATATATTTTACAACTACACTTTAGAGGAGCGAACGTGTCAAATCTCTTTCGTAAAGTATTTTGAAAAATGAAACATAATAAAAGTACACAATTCAAATTCTGGGATGTATATACGACCACTATTTAAGCTTTTTCTCAGTTTGTACTGCAATCCAACTTATGCATGGTTACTCATTAAAATGAGAGTCAACTTCATTTCAGTATAGGGTATTTGCCTTTCGTAGTGCCTACTGTGGACCCATCACCTGACATGGTCATTTTTTACTGTTACTTGATTTTTTGAAGTAAAATTATTTGATGAAGATGAAGCTAAATACATATAATGGTATGAACTGTGGATTGTTCTACCCTCTATAGTCGTTCCAAAAGGTAGATGGAGTGTATCTTGAAATACGAAAATGCAAAATTAGATTTTAAGATTATTGTTATTTATTTGAATAAGAGTTATGGTTATCTGATGCAACTACAGTAAAATATGTGTACAGTGAACACATATGGAGCCCCAAAAATGTGTTCCCAGTTGGTAGATGTTCACTCCATAGAGGAAATTTCATAGAGAAGTCAGAAGAATATGTGATAAGAGGTGTTCACTAGAGAAAGATGTTCATTGATACAGGTTTTACCGTGCAGCGTGTTTACAAAGACCTTTTTATATTTTTAGAATAAGCAAAATGATGAGGCATGAATTTCAAACCTCTGAAAAATGCTAAAAGAGTGGTCGTTTTTATATCTCAGATTTACATTACCCCAGATCTCCCAGAAAACTGCTCCGTCACAGCGGACAATAAATTTAAACATTATTTTTTATAAAAAGTATAAAAAATACCCAATACATCAAAATCTCATTAATACCTTCAGAGTTATGCTGAAAACATATGTAAATATTATCGTGTCATTATATTGTACCATTAAAAAGAAATAAAAAGAAATGGTACATTTTGGAGTACGATACTCCCGCGCCATTTTCAATAGCTTTTACTCTTAGCGTGGTTGGACTTCAAACAGAAGTTAAAGTTACCCGCAAATGATATATCCATTGCACGGAGTAAGTAATTTTTCTTTGGTATAGCAAAAATATGAGTAAAAAAATAAATTGAGTGGGTTTCTTAGTGTTTCTATGCAAAGTAGCACGCTCCGTCACAGGGGACAATTTTTTTGATACCGGCCTGTGAAATTGACTTCACGAAACCATACTTTAAATGATTGAGTAACACATAGAAAAAAACTTGAAATGTGAACACCTGCAAATCCAAACACTTTTGGCCAGTCAGTCATATGTTTCTTTTAAACTTTTAAATGTATGCATTTTAATTGCAGTGAGAAGAGAAAGGCGGATGAAAACAAGACTCCAGGTCACTCCTCTCACAAGAAGTCGAAAAAACAGAAGACACCAAAGTCAGGGAAGAAAGGAAAACATTGAGACATTCAGAAGCTGATTACACTTTGAACAATATAATTTTGAAACATTTTATCAGGATCCCTTGGAGTGGAAGTGTCTCTATTTTCTCATGCATCATTAATATCAAGATTATTTACGTTAAAGGACGTTTTGAAAAATATTAGTGTATCTGATGTTTAAATCGGTATATGTGGAGATCAGTATCCTGTTATCAACATAAATAGTATAAGAATATAAAATATTATCATTTTAAAGAATTAAATCTGATGTGTTTCTGAATGCATTCGTTTGATCAAGTTTAATGTCAAATCTTAAACGGCTATGCTTTGACTACACTGCTCATTTGCTCAATTTATATACTGTACTGTAAATTGTGATAATGGCCTTAAGGACAGATGGTGAAGAATTCAATGGGTTCATTATCTCAACAAACAAAGTTTGGTAGGGAATTAGTGAAGCTCTCTGTCTGCAGGTCAGTCCATCAATCCTGTCCAGAAGATAACTCGAAATTCTAGAAGACAGAAAACAAAAACATTCCTAAAATTTCAGATCCAATCTATCCAAGAATATGTATGCAAACGTGCCAAAGGGAAAGGACCAACAATTGCAAAGTAACCCAGCGATACAAAGATACAAATAAGGAGAAACCTTAACAAATTAAATCAAACGAACACAGAATGTGACAAATCCACAAAATAATTATATGTATATTTTTATATTTTTCAATAAGTATTAACACATCCTTAAATGTACATTGAATATAAATACACCCACTTGCACATTTAGTAAAGTTTCTAGTCAGAAAAAGCCAAGACTTGTATACATGAATGTATCTTTAGTTACCCATATTATTTACAATATGTTCACATAAAAAAGCAGCACACCATTAAACATTAATGTATATATATACAGGGTGTCAAATAAATATGTTTGCCCCCTTAATTCCAAGAGTATGAACTTTTATGCATAAAAGTGCCAGTCATCTGAAGATTCTTGTTGAGTTGCTCCAGAACAATCCAGATATCTACCAGACAAAAAAACGATACAACATTATGTTGATGTTAAAGTTACAGGGGGAGACGTATTTGTTTGACACCCTGTACATGTCTGGTAACAATTAGTACCCATGTACTATTTTAAATGTTCTTTCTTAATGCTCTTCTGCACTTAATAAGAATACCATATCCTGTTGTTGGCTTCCGAGTATCACATTGTACACTGGTATGTTGTACATCACTGCATTCACATGCTGCCTTGGCTGTTTGTCTCGCTGTGTCCATGTTGTTGTTGTCATCAAAGTATAATCCCAAACTTTCCCCAGCATGTATGGTTCCAGCAGGTAGTTTGAATGCTGCCTCACCCTGGGCATATTGTTGTAGCCCAGCTGTGACCCTATAAACACAGTCTGTCGCTTCAGCTATTACTTTAATGACAGTCTCGTCTGTAGCCGATTGAAAGGTTGATGTTATAATGTCCCCACTTCCCTTGAATTCCAGGCATACAGTCTTATCTCTTGTCACATCCTCTCTGCGACCAATCAGCTTATTCAGTGTTTCAGCATGCTCACCTCCATAGCTTGATACAACAACTTTTGATTCATCTGGGTGTAGTGTTCCGCCGTTTGCACTGTTACTCCAAACTTCAACTCTGACCTTGATAAACCAGGCCCAGTAAACAGCTGGAGCACTGGGAAACCAAATTAATGGAAAAAGTGAATTTTCATCAGGACAGGAACTATCAGAATTATCAAAATTATCATCATTAACTAAACTAGTACATGCTGTATATTTAACTAATGTGTTAGCTTGTCTGTAGAATCTGTAATGTAAGTTCACATGTCCACTATTCATGCAGTTTGTATAGTCCATTGTATATGGATATCGACAGGCAGTTTGGTGACATAAAATACATCTTGGTTCCTTTTCAACTATTCGGGCGCAATATACACAGAACTCAGAATCTTGGTCATGACATGTTGATTGTGTACTGTCATATAAAGGTCTTGATGTTGTCAATGGGCTTACTGTGGTGTTTAGAATGGTAGGTTGTGAAACTCCTGATTGAATCTCTGCCCTTGTAGTCGTCACTGAAGAAACTGCTTGTCCCCCAAGTATTGTTGAGCCATGAAGTGGTCCATCAATTGTGTTAAATGTTAGGTATCCCTGGAAATGGTCAGCCTCACGCATAGTTAATACACAGTCCCCATTGGCACGGTGCCCATGTCAAGCTGCGCGCCTACTTAGGCGCGCAGTTTGTTTCGATCACAAACTGCGTGCCTGGCAACATTGCATCATTTAAGTTGGAGTCTGTATTTTGAAACGTAATTTAAAGAAATTTATCCTGCATTGTTTTCTTGTTCAATGCGTTCATTCTGTGGCGAATATACGAATCTTGCAAATACTAGCAAAAACTATGTGAAAATGAACCTAAGTTTTAAAACATAAGCAGATTAATGGCATTTTCGTCACTGATTTAACGGGAAATTTATACGTTAGTCGATCTAGCACTTTAAACATAAATGACAAATACTTTAGACTCGTTTTATATTTAATTCTTTACGCATTTATCATGTATAATTCAAAATATTTCGAGATAAAACAGATAATCAGGAGATTAAAAAGAAATAAAGCACAAACTGCGTGCCTGTTTTAGCCAGAAATTACAAACTGTGCGCATACACTATTAAAAATTCATATTATCATTGGGATTTCTACAGAGGCACGTGTAGGTGTTTTTCATATAGCTTTGGAAATTTTGCTTTATCGTCAGATTTTATGAGATTTTAATATTGAAAGTCAAAATGTATAATAGAAGTGACAACTAAGTTGGGAACGAAAAACTTTTATTTTCAGATCACCATCTTGGTGGATGGACTCTCATAGTGTTTCACTTATGGGGTTCTACTATTAGACACATATGTGCCTTACATATGGCGCTTACGTTTTCTAATAATACAAAACAAGTTTGGGTAGGTAAGCAGTTTGAAAATATTAGGCACGCAGTTTGGGAAATACATGTGAATATAGGCGCGCAGTTTGACAAGAAAAATGTTTAAATCACGTTTATGGCGTATTATCGTTTTGAACACAAACTATGCTGCTTTAATCAGATGGAGTGATCCTATGTATCCTAGCATACACAGACACAATGGCTGAATAAACGGCAAATGACGATAAAAAGACATAGATATAACTTTACACTGTGAATTTTGAACACAGAACCTACTTAAGACCCTTATATTGAGATAACTAGGTTACATCGGGAACAGCATTGAGTACTATGAGTAAATTAAGTTCATCTTCACAGAATAGTACTGTCTTTAGAACGAGACTAACCTTGTATTTTTCGTATTCTAGCTCTTTTTGGGAGTCGTGTCCTCCCCGTCTTCGATTTTGAAATATGCGCGCAGTTTGTCAGAGTTTCAAACTGCGTGCCTAGTAGGCACGCTGCTTGACATGGGCATCGTGATTGGACCCAACTTCTCTAAAATACACATGTACAAAGCTTTGTTTGCCAGTTATGTGCTGCCATGTCTCCGCCCTGTTCCGTGCAATTATAGTTGGTTCATTTGTAGGAGCTTCAGGTATTTGTGTAGTCATCATATCACTATCATTCTAGAGAGTTCTTTTCTTAATGAGCCTTCAATCTCCCATCTTCCTGAAGAAGGATTCAAAGACCAAAGCTTGACATTTGTAGTATCATTTGCTCCTATTCTTTCTGCACTTATGGCCATTTCAACATCACCTTCGATGTTAAGCTCATTTCCAGCAGGATCTTCAAAGCTCATGAAACATACCAAAGGTTTGTAGGGTTACTGTTTGTCCATTGCTATTCATGAATGTCAGATCTACAGGCATTGTGTCTATGCTGTACATGTCTGTTGGATCAAGGAAGTTAACACTTGCCTGAACTTGCCCGTTATATTTTGTCCCATCCTTGCTATAAAATGCTCCTTCAGGGATGATCACCTCAGCAAGCGATGCATTTGAAGTGGTGTTTGGGAGGCTTAATGTATTGATATCAGAAAAAGAAATCTCAACAATTTTCTTTTTCCTAAGCATTGGAATATCTTTATAGAGAGTTCCTGTAAAACCATTTGGGATGTAAATTGTTTTGGTAGTTTCAATGAAGTCTAACTTCTGAAAACCTTCTGATACAGTGATAACAAGCCGGGATACATCGTTTGGCACAACAATCTTAAATTCACCCGTAAAACTTGTATAGGTTTCAAATTCATCAAAGAGAAACATTTTGCCAAAGCTAAGAGGTATACCTATGTCTAGTACATCATAAACATAACCACTCAAATATACTTTTGGATCAGATGTCAGAACGTTTCCATCTACTTCAACTTGGTTGCATATCTTACAACCACACTCAATAGTTTCTGCAATGTCAATGGTGTAAGAACTACATGTCAATGTCCTCAATTCCTGTCTGATTGGTCCACAGCAATATTCCTCTTTGTCTGTTATTGGCCGTTTAATGCATGGATTCCCAAGGCATTTCTTAACATCATAATGATGAAATAGAAACACAGTTTTCAAAGTATGACATCAAAAGACTTCAGCTCTACTCACAGAATATTGTGCATATAATATGTGTTTGTATTTTCTCAAATAATTCAATCTTATTCTAGGGCTTACAAATGATGAGATAGAAACACAGTTTACAAAGTATGATATTAAAAGACTTGAGCTCTACCCACAGAATATGGTGCATATAATCTGTGTTTGTATTTTCATGAATAATTCAATCTTATTCTAGGGCTTACAAATGATGAATATATAAGCACTAGTGCCAAGGGAAAGGACCAAAAGTTGTAATGGAACTTAGCAAGAAAAAGCAAACTCTAAGTGCATACCAGTCAAGAAAAACAAACCCCAAATAGCCTTCCCCTCACCATTCAAGAATCAATATCACAATCCAAGACCAGAAGACCAAGGGACATTTCATTCATACTGAAGTCAATACATGTTGAAGAAAAAGTTAGAAATTGATAGCCAATTGATAGCCAATACTCATAACCTCAAAAATTGTTGAAGATACAAGTACTCATACAAGATAGAGCATTCAGTCTCAAATGATGTGGGATAGATAAAATCCAGTCTCCAAGTCCATAGGCGTTTCAAAGGGTCAACATCCATTCACAAAAGCCGTCGCCATAATCCATAAAACACAATTATTCACAATGGTCATCAGGAGAAACACAGTTTACAAA